GGTAACATAAATATATATAAAATTTTACTTATAAATTTTATGGTTCATTAGAAATGCTTTCAATATGCCATTTCATTGCTTTAAAGCATAAATAAGTACATCTTTACAATATATAGTTATTTGGTTCTCTAATAACATAAATACAATTTTCGGTCATTATGAGTTACATATCAAGATAACAAATAAATAAAAATTCTTATATGCTTAAAAAATACTTATTGCATCTTTGTATGTCTTATGCATAAACCAATCAATGGCTATGAAAGATGATGGCAAGAAAATTTGTCTATTCACAATAGCCAAATCTTTGCCATTTTTTAAGTGGTCATCTAACCATTCTTATAAATTAGCTCATATTGTCTTTTGCTTATTTTTATACCAAAATATTTGGTTTTAATTAATTTTAGCATATTGATCAATCACATATTAGTAAAAAAGTGGTCTAGATTAGTATATATATTTATCTTCTAGATCATGGATATACAATCTATATAATTTTATTTCTATGGTAGTTATATAATTTTTACTAAAAAAAAAAAAAAAGTTACCATTTGACTTATTCTCTTTTGTAGTTTCTTTGCTATAGATTTTTTTATTTAAAACTCTTTCATAGAATATATTAATAATTAGAGCATCTTCAAGACATACATCAATATCATTAAATCTATTATTTGATATGTTAATATTCTAGCCATATTTTCTATATGAGAGGATAATGAAATTATTAAGAAAATTATATGCATCATATATTTTTTTGATTTTTTTAAAGCAACCAATAACAAAATTAAGTACAACATTTCTCTTTGAAGAATTCTATTGATGTTAGAAATAACTATAGCAATTACATTAGTACTAGGCATTATATTATTGCATATCCTTTTTGTGGTCTTCTTTTAAGCATATAATACATATATTATCTCTATAAGCTTGAACACCTATTTGCATGAATTCATGTATAAAGAGATTTAAGAAATTAATCTCTCCTTGAAGATTATACAATATAACCCCATCTAGTTCAAAAAAAATTGTATGACATCTATTTAATTGGCTTTAAAATGCAACATCATAAAAGTAAATTTGAATAAACTGTGGTTGATTCTCAAGAACTAAATTATTAAGTTGATGATATAATAATTCTTATATGAAAAATATATATTCCCATGAGTTTCTTAATATATGATGTCTTTATAGTTCCAAAAATATAAATGTAAAGATAAAATTTTAAGATTTTTTTTTAATAATATGTAGAATATCATTAATAGTTGTTTTATTGAGTAATATTTTGATGCTTAGAAGAAGAGGTGACAAAGGAACAAGTTTATTCTTACTTTTTTGGCACCAAATGTTTGATTTTTTAGACATCCACTTTTTAGTATTATAATTGCTACACTTAATAATTATTTTTAAATATATATATATATATATATATATATATATATATATATATATATAATATACTTTAAAAGATAAGAACTACTTCTTGAAAAAAATTGTCAATTGTAATACGATTTGCCTTGAGAAAGTTGTGGCCACATCTTTAGTTCCTAGTATGCAATGCACATATAGATATTTTTCAAGTTCTATTCTTTTGTTCTTATTGTTTTGATTGTACTTTGTCATAATACATACTTTGTTTGTTCATGGCTTCTTTGTCGTGTTTATTTGCACAAACAATGTTTATGCCTCACAACTATATACATGTAATTCTTCTTCTTACTTCTCAATTTGATAATATTGCCAAACAACAACATGTTTTTGGTTCTTCATTTTCATTTATTCTCTTGGTATTTCTTGTGTTTTTGGCATGTACTAATACTTGTTATAAGCAATATAGTAAAGGATAGATTCTTCTATAATGGTTTTATGGAAGGATTAGGGCAATGGTGTACCAAGTACAAGATAGAAAAAATAATATAGTTGAATATTTAAGCCAAGATTAGATGTATATAAGTTATATTTAAAAATTAAAAAATTAAAAAATAAATACTAGAATATTAGCAAGATTGGTGTGTACTTTGGATTTGTTTGAGTAAGCCAAAGAGACATTCAAGCAAGTAATGTTACATGCCTTCTACCATTAATGTAACATTAAATCATCATGTGCTTAAATGTCTCTTTTTTATGCTCCAACAACTTTTGAAATCAAAGCTTTGATTAAAAAAAAAAAAAACAAAACAAAACAAAATTTGTATACTAGTGAGAATTGTAGGAAGAATTGATGAGATCAACAAGGTTAGAAAACTTCACTCATGTAGTCACCTAATATAAAAACATATTTAAAATAAAATTTTAGCAACATATTTAGTACAAGCCAATATCCAAGAATTTCATAATTTAGCAATTTATTCTAAATTCAGTAATTTTCTATTACAAGTGGTGTACAACACTTTAGATTGATGGGATATTATTATACAAATTGCAACTCAAATTGCTAATAAAGTAGAATAGATATTAAAAAAAAATTGATAAACTTTTGTACATAAGCACATGGCTTCTACTTCAATTGTCATCTATTTTGTCACATACATATATAGATACACTTTATATAGATGAAACCATAGTTGATTTTGACATTGGATAATTGACTTCAAGTAGAAATCTTGAAGTTGATTTAAGAGAAGAAAGACATGCGGACTCAATAGGGTATTTTTCTAATGACAATTCAAGTAGAGAAAACATTATGGTGTGAATGTGTTGTAGAATTATGGAAAGAAATGTTGCAAAATCTATGAAGATTGTAAGATGAAAAGGTGAAATCACCCTAAAATTAGACCATGCTACCATAAACTTCTACTACTCAGTGCCCAATATAATCCAAAATCATTGTTTACATGAGTTGAGCTGTATTGTTTACACGAGTTCTATGCAACGTGTGTATTCTTGCAAGTGAAGAATGTACGCACTGTGCAATTTGATTTCACATTTCGAAGTGGCAGCTAGGTCGAGCGACTCGAAGTTGTCGCTGTATTCACATCACCCTAGCAATTATTCGGACCCTCGTTGCAGCTCTGTTTATGACTTTTGTGATTGTCATCTGCGAAAGCTATTTTCCTGGTTTTTAGCATGACCTCAAATAAGCCCAGAAACCAAATCCCTGCATTGGGTGCACATTGCATACCTGCAAAATGTTTCCTTCATGCAAATGCTCATCTTGCTGACGTTCCATTCCTAGACTGGGATCACTAAATCAGGAAGAATTTCTTGCCCTGCACCCAGATTTTGAGCAGGGGTCGCAGTGGTTGGTGTGGAATTGAACTCCACAGTGCGGCCAAAACATCAAATGTGGTAATGATAGGTTATCTGGATTTGAGCCGGTATCCTTGTGAATTTTAGGCAGCATTTGCACGGGTCACTCCACATTTTCCCCTGCTACAGACACACGCCATTTCCTATGGTGACAGACAACGAAGCATAATAATAATTAAGATAAATATAGATATATAAGTAAGTGGATGTTTGTGTAGGAGCAGCAAAATGCAGCTGAGATCTGCATCTGTAATTAGGTTTTGCCTTCCTCGTGCAGGATTAACGTCGGCGGTCGTTACCGTCACATTATTTGCATGTGAGAAACATGAAAGCTGGTGCAGGCAATCTGTAGGATATTTTCCGACCGAGATTAGGTTACATTCAGGCTTCGCAAAACATCGGTTTAGGTTTCTGAGCTGGGTCGATCAGGCTTGTTAGGAGCTGGCCAGCCAGGGAACATTGTTTCGACTTCCGGGTCAAGGTTTTTTTCCTGTGACGAACGAATCGCTCTCACTCCCAATCCCGATGGTGGATTCTATCTTCAATGGGGCCCCGAGATTAGATTCTGCAATTCTTGGTGCACAATTTCGAACATTGCTAAAACTTGGTTTGATCCCGAGAAGTGAGTTAGTTTCACTGAAGAAGAAGACGCATGTAGAGCACTTGTCCCCAATTCAGCAAAAGACTATCCGTGTGATTCAATTCGATCCCATGTTTTTGTTGTGTTTCTCTTCTCCTGTTTCTAGTAAAGCCTGACCATGCTGGTAAAACGATAAGCGGAAGCTGATTGTAGAGTATGTGTGGCCCAGGCCGATTCAGATGCCGAGGACAGAAGGTAGTAGGTACAGATAAAACTGATGATTTTCAACTCGGCTTAAAACAATGGACCTGAAACAAGGAAAACAGGAATGGTATCTGCGAAGCCTTCTGAACACAGCAAGGCAGAACCCCTTTCACCCCAAGCAAACTAGGAAGGCGAAATAGCTGACGTGAGAACTGGATACGGTGAGGAGCTCCGAATAGAGCACACTCCAATAATTCCCAAACTAATTAATATGAGTGTTTTTGTATTCACTTATATATAGAACAAAGTACCACGGGCAGCGTAATCCCGCTCCGAAAACGAAGTTGCTTCTGCCCGGTTGCTAATAAAGTCGAATTCGCGTACTCAATCATCACCCAGAACTCATCTTCCACGACAGCTCGGTTCATTTTCTGTTGTGGCTGGCAACATTTACGCAACACCTTTTTTTAGATACGATTAAATAGATGAACGCCGCTGGTTGGCGGTTCTCATTCAACAGCGGAATTAGGTAGTAAACGGGGAATGTCCTAAAAGTGAGGCGACACACTTTTCTAGAAAAAACAGCCTATGTGAGCTAGAACTTGTGCCAATCCCAGGTTGGTGGATATGAAAGTCCACACTACGAAATGACGGCCAACCACGTTGCATTGTACAATTCGACAAAAGCAGTTTGGAAAATAACACACTGCGCATCAGGCTCTGGACATACACAACATTGCTGCTCATGAAATTACAATACAAGTGCTAAGCTCTGGAATGATGCCGATGAATGGAGCAGTAAACTGGAATGGATTTCTCTCACTCCTAGTTAGATACGAAAAGTATATTCCTCTCGTAGCAGCCAGCAGACTGACAATTTGGTGAGATCGCAGAGGTAACTCGTATCTGGACTGCAGAACAAGGCCAGCATTTCACACCCGAGTGGTGAGGACAAAATATTGAACAGTGATTTGGACAGTAAATGCGGATGAATACAGCATCAATTATGCTGCCATAACCTGGCGGGGAGATACATTACCCACAGAGCTGGTAAGGGATGAAGATATAATTGAAATCCAAAAATCGGGGTAGGGGATGAATTCAAGGGCTGTTTCTGTATAGCCTGTATCTGACGCATTCTAGCAACACTGTCATGTGAATTTCTGTAGGGTGCTCTTCGGGTCTTCGTCTTCTTTTTATGTACTGCAAATGCCGACTACTTCTAAATAGATGAAATTACATCTATTTGATAACATAGGTTCTCTTCTTCACCCAAACCTAAACCTAATCCAGTAATGTTGAATTACATCTGTGGGACTTTCGACATGACACCCAGCAAATGGGTTCTGTCCTGCTCGGCACATCATACAAGAAGGGTAACTATAGTAGAAGTGTATTTGGCAGCCCCACCACGCACCTGCCTCTAGCCCCCTTTCTTGGGGTAGCTGCAGATGCGTGAGTTGGACTGCCCGGGCATGTACGCCACATTGTGTTTAAATAATGAACATATAAATATCCTTGCCTTCCTTCTTCATGCTTTGATATCGCCATTGTGTTACTGCTAATCTGCATGATCTACAACATAATCATGGTCAACATCGAAGTGAAACTAGAATCCAGATCCACTCACGAAATCAAACCCTCAGTTCAGACTGAAAGGTACTCACCTTCAAAACGCACTGGATGCAAACAGTGTTGCTGCATTCCAACTGAACAGAGTCTCCTGAGTGTTCTGCAACTCAACATTGGGCATGTCACGAATCCGATTGAGATATTTAATGTAAACTGAGTCAATTGTGCATATTGAAGGAGTGATGTGCCTTCGCCACAGGATCAAGGAGGCTGAACCAAGTGAGAAAATTTGAACATTATGGGCCTCCCAGCACGCAAGAAATCAATTCAAGTCAGATAACACGAGAGAAAAAGTACACGTCGCTGCTACACGCCCCACCTGCGAACCCTGAATACTTAAATCATTCAACTTCTCTGGCAACGAAAAGATCTTCTGCTTGTTCATTCCCAGTGGGCTTGAAAATGGACTTTCGGGCAAACCTTGTCCATTGCCATTGCTGTCAAATCAAAGATCTTAAAATTAATCAAGTATATTATATCATGTCATGCGGTGCTCAACCTAAGATACATCAATATAGATTCTGCAGTAGCAGGCTTAAGAAAATAAAATGCGGAAAGTTATAAAAATAAAGATTAACCATGTATTGAGCACACGCTCAGAACAGAAAAAAGGACAGGAACAGCTAATCGCAACACTAACCTCATCTGCTTGCTGCCGTAAAATTCAGGAGTGGGTTCAATGTCGTCACCCTGTTCCCCACCGTCGAGGACGTCGAGTAGATAACCAAACGAGTTGCTTGGGTGAAACTGAGATAGACCTGTTCCTCCAGCAAGGACAATAAAATTCAAGTTTTAATGAGTTCTTAAACCTGATATTGGATATGATTGCTTAAAATTACCATGGGGAGCAAATGTAACAGAAAAACACCACCTAGATACCTTCATCAGACAGCCCTAAATCATCTGTGAAAAATCCCGCATTGGCAAGGGCTCGATTCTGAGCAGCCACAACAGCCATCGTAGCATCGGCCTCAGCACGTCGGCGTTGTGCATCCACTAAATGCAGATCAGTCAAGCGCCGACGCCCTAGTTCTAGAACCTGTTCCTCCTCCTCAAGTTGACGAGTAAATGCAACTTCGTCTTCATAGGATTTGGGTACTGCAAAAAAAAAATCAAAGAGTTTCTAGAATGTATCACGAGATACTCGATAACATACAGTGATTCTTAGCACAGTGACTCTCAAATAAAAAGATAGCAACTAGACAGTTGTAATATATAGTGAAAATTCACATACGGGATCACAAATCCGTCCAAAGCTAGGCAGGACCCCTAGAGGAGATTTTAGTGATGAAATCATCCTTAAAAAAAATTAAAAAACATCACACCTGCGTGATAATCGAAATCCTTGCCATCAATACTGCGGCTCTGTACAAACCGGGCATGATCTTCCCTCTCAGAATATTTCCTGATACACCACAGTGGACTCGTCTGTTAGTCTCCAACACATTAGAAGTTCTGTGAAAGCCTGCTCCACATCCAAGCAAGTGATTTGAACATTGAAATAGAGAGTTAAGAAAACTGAATTAGACACGAGAGAAATCACTTGCACACCCCAACCGCAAATCGTCGAAGGACAAAATGCATGTTCCCATTACCTGTCACCGTGTTTGCCTTTTTCTCTATAGGGCTTGACAAGCACACGGGCTCCACAAATATAATGCGGGTTCCCTTCGGACAAAATTGCTTTAACAGTTTCTGAATATACAAAAGTCACAAAACCAAACATCCGCTTCTGCTGATAGGGGATCCGAACATCTTGGACTGGACCGTAAGCCCTGCATTCATCCCGCACAAATGAGAAAATTGATTGGTCATAAGAGGATCTCCAAGTATTTCAATATGCAAAAAGTACAGTAAGGCTGTCACCGTTGACCTGAAATGTGATGTTACATCCTCTTCACAAAAAGTAGATTCGGCAGGAAACGTGAGATAGATCTGACGTGAAGATGGGTTGATTCCGCTCAAATCCTCTCCGCGATGGTCAGACCGATGTACGGTGAATCGATGTGCATCCTCCGCAAGCACAACTGCATGCTGACCATGAGGCCTGTTCAAACACCCAGCAGTGTGCTTGTGTCTGAGTAAACCACTGCCCACACCCACTGTAAGAAGGGTACCCCTCTCTGCTGTCTCGTGCCCTTTCTTTCCACCTCTCGGATATAGAGAGAGAGTTCGGGACATCCGTGGGCACCCCCATGATCCTCACAACCTCGGCCTGACAGATAATTGCCGCTCACTCACCGATTTATTACCAATACGCCTGAGTGAGCCGACCCTCGCACTCGACGGTTGCTAAGAATGCGTGTAGATTAACTCTCACCAGCGCAGACAGAGCACTAATATCCGTATCCTAAGTAAGCATCTGACAAGATACATGACATATTGCTAATCCTGCAATCCAACAAGCACAGGAGAACGCTACAAATTCAATCAGCCAACACGCATTCTACACGAAGCATCCACTTGCACTTGCAGCGTCTATAGAATCAAATCTCCCCCAACTTAGCGTACTCACACCTATACAAAAAATGGCAATGTTTGCCTACCTCAAACCATTGTGCACCTGCACACCACCTGTGCAGTTCAAACAACAGAACCAATACATCCTATAATCTAGGAAATGAAGTTACATAATTGCACAACCCAGCAACATACCGATACACGGGAAAGGGAAGGGGAAAAGGTGATGGGTGCAGGCGAACGAGGCCATGCTGAAAGCCCTTTCAAATCAGGCATTAAAATGTTGACTTGCAGTGTTTGTACTGCAGAATGGGAATAGAGTCAAAGAAAGGGCATACGCCATGCATACCAAAAGTTGTAACACGACAAAGGCACGTACCTATCAATGAGAGTCACAGTATTCTTCAAGCGAGCCAACAGCTTTGTAAGGCTGTAACCAGCTTTTCCATGCCGCTGGCTTTCAGTGAGATAACCCTCTGCTTGCAGAGTTTTACCAAATCGTTCATAGTACAACTGAGGGAGTGAAGCTATTGACACAGGCGCGCGGCGTCCCCGAAGAAGCTCCTGGAGTTCGATTTCTAGTCTTTCTAGGGATCCTGGAGCCATTCCGTCGTCCACCCGGAGCTCACGGTGTCCATTACTCGATGCGGGAGAGCCTGAGCTCTCCCTCATCGGCCCATGAAGGAAACGACAGCTGCTTCCATGTTTGCAGTAGCCTCTGGCGAAATACAGGCAAGGTTTCCACGCAAGTGTGGGACCGAGATCAGGAGGCGACGAACTATCAACGATGGGAGAGGCACGGCTGCTGCTAGATCGAGAATGCAGAATCTCTTTGCTACTATTCAAAAAGGCGTAAGTATCCGGATAGTAGTGGTCAGTGTATACACGTAGGGAGTTCTGCTGGTCGACTGCATCTGAAAGAAGAGAAAGATGGTCGTGCAAAGGCAGCTGGTCCTGCAAAAACAGTTGATTGTGATGCTGCTGCTGAATAGTGGCCAGCTTCACCTGGTCGAGCAAACCAGGTGAGGTCAGCACATTGGAACCAAAGCCACCGCTAGCAAACTCGTGATCTGGAATGTACAGAGGCGCAGGCCGCTTCTGCAGCGGCGGCATCACGCTCCGGCTGTCGTCTAGCCCAAGCTCCTTCTTCGCTTTCTTCACAACAGACTGCATGAGCACATTCGAGCCAAGCGCCAGGCGCAGCATCTCCCGCTCCCCGTGCTCTTGCAGCAGCAGATGCAGCATAATCTTGCTACCTGTCTCGGGCTCCAAGGCCTGCACCCTCCCGTACACAATCCGCGTGGCCTCGTACGAATCCATCCCGCCAGCCTCTCTCCTCAGCCCGCAGATCTGCTCCCACTCACCATTCCACCCCACCCCTCCCCTGCATTGTCAGCCCCTTGCCATCTCTTCAACACATCTTACATAACCTACACATTCAAACTCCAAAAATCATCACAATCATCGCATATTTTACCTCCTCTTTCGCCACACAACTTCTCCCCGTCAACCTTTCGTCCACGGCCTCCTCATCCCCACCCGTCTCCTTCACTCCCTCGCCTCCTCTCTCTCTCCTATCCCTTCTCCCATACTCTCTCCCCTCTCCACCTCCACTTCACTCCTCTCTCTCTCTCTCTCGCCTCCGTCGTCAAAATCCTTCTCTCTACGCCTTCGCACTTGTCGCAGCGACGAAGAACGCACAATCGAGTCCTCCTTCGCCGTAAGCTTTGTCTCCCTCTCTTACTCGGTCACCCACTCACTCCCTCTCTCGCTCCCTCGCTCGCTCGCTCTCGCCCGCTGGTTTGCGACGAAGGGCTCTGAGCAAGGTCAGCCGCAGCTGCTGCAACTGCAGAGGCCTTTCACGGCCCACGGTGCCCCGGGCAGCACCAGCCTGCTGCCCTAAAGTGGAAAATTCCAATCCGGGCTGGGGGCTCATCAAGCTGGCTTGGCTTGGAGCATTCGCGGCCAGGCCGCAGTGGGAAGTGCGACGGGCAGAGGCGAAGTGGGACATCGATGGTGGTAGAGAAAGAGAAAGAGCAACCGGGAAGCGAGAAGAAAAAATTTGGGGGAAAATCCTGGCTGCCCTCTGCCCCCTCGCCAGGCTTATCACGATCAGCGATCTGCGCACCACTCCCTGCCCAACCCCCGACACCCCACCGCTGCCGCGTGGTGCACCGAGTTGGCATCCCCGCTCCTCTGTTCCTTTCCCGTCATTCATCTGTTTCTAAATTTCATTCATCTGTGAAATTTTGTTTCTTCATTCATCCTCTTCGGGAATTACATGCTCTACGGGAATTGATGGAATGGATCCGTGAAAAGATCTTTTTCCCCGTCGAAACATCACTGCCGACGGAATATTCTCCGTATTGCCCTCCTCCTCGGGGGGCCATTCCACTCAATCCATGCTGACTTGGCCTTAATAGTTGTTGTTTCACAAGTTGGCATTTAAGTGAAATTAAGTAAGGTGGTTGGTCTATTGATTTTTTTATTTTTTTATTTTTTTTGAGTGCAACCAGTTAGAAACGATAGTTTAAATTATGATTCTTATTGTTATTATATCCAGTTATGACTAAGCCATTGTTGATTTGACTTTTACTTTTTTATAAAATATTTTTCATATGTGTTGCTACTTCGATTATATATTTTAACTGGATATTTGTTTCAAATCATGTTGAAAAAGAAAAAGAAAAACTAGATGAATATATCTAGTGAAGATATTAGAAATTTTTTGGGTTATGTGTATCTTGCAAAGAGTAAGAATAAAGTTGTGACATTTGATTGTTTATAAATAAAGTAATACTTTTTATGACCATTGCATTATATTTTAACCAAAATCAATATGATTTTTTGTTATTTTAATTATTTATTTTTTTTATGGTCAATAAACTATTCACAATAGAAAATAAAACTTATATATATAAATATATATATATATATATGTTGAAATAAATCTTAATTATATATTATTATTAAATTTGTTAAAAAGATTACTTATTTAAAGATATTTTTCCAAATCACATCTAATGTTGTAGAAGGAATAAATAACAATTTAAATTTATTTTTTATTTTTTATTATTAAATTATGATTATATATATATATATATATATATATATATATACTGTTTCTTTGTAAAACAAATACCAATAAATCATTGTCTCCATGCTAACATCTTTTAAGAAGAGTTAGAAATTTTATAGTTAAGATCTAAACCACTAACCTCTATGTACCAACCCACCATTTTTAGGTAGTTTATGGTCACTATGGACTATAATATTTTTATTTTAGAAAATTGATTAGTATATTGAATTTTAATAAATTAATATAATGCATCAAAAGTTGTAAGAATTATATATTTGAATTGATATTGTATTGTTTAATTTATTTTTTATAATTTTTTCAATTCAGTTGAAATTGGAATTGAATAGATAAGAATTATTGTACCACAAATAAAATAACCAACTAAAAAAAACCAACAAACACAATATGAATACTTATATCTATGTAACAACCAACAATTAATATATTTTTTAATCCAAACATATGAATACAAATTATTCATTCACTATTTGAATCAATTCATGTGCTTCTTGCAACAACAATTTATAGATATATTTCTTTAAAAAATTATGTGATACACTTTGTAATACATAATAAAATAAATTGTAAATTTGAAGGATTTAAAATCAATAAAATACATATCAGTACGTTCTTACTGCAATGATGATTTGATTAGAATCTATAGTATTTAAAAATTTAAAGAAATAAACAATGGTTTTAAAAATCTATTAATGGAAAATGTTGCTTCAAACAATAGATTTTAATTCTTTTTAAAACCGTCCACTCTCTACTAAGACATTGCAAGCTGTACAAATAGACATTCGTTTCATCCAATTCTTCGTTCAGCCATCATTTTTTTCATAAATCTGGTGATCTTGTCTTGTAATTTTGCTATACCAGTGGCATAGTTATTTAGTTGTTTTATGATCTTTTTAATGAAATCTTTCATATTAATTTTTTATTGAAATTTATATCATTTTATTTTGAATTCAATTCGATAGTCAGGTAGTTTCCCCCCTTCCCCCCGCAACACACAAACAACACAGGAAAGTAGACAAAAAATGTGGGGTCTGTGACAATCCACAAATATTAGCTATTCCATTACATGTGTTCTTATAAAAAAATACCAATTCTGAAAACTTATTCGAATAGAGATACATAAAGAGGAATTCATGTACGCTTTCACATCATACCACAGAAAAACTGAATAAAAGGATCAAGATGAATTGAATAAACGGAAGAGTTTCAGCACCGAGATGCTGAACGAAAACTAGCGTTTGAATGTAAGTAGCGACTAGAGTTGAAGCAGATGGGAATCCAATACAATAGCATGGCTCACTTTGAATTGCATACGTGAATCTACCTTGTAGTAACGCACCATCACTTCAGTTGGGTTGTCTTGATCGGATAGAGTCATAATCATCGGTATTCAAGAATTCAATCACACATTGTTGATGGCAAATACTTCATCAGTTTCGGTAGTGACAGAACAGTCTTCATTTCATTCCAGCTGCAACGAATTCTGAAATACCTGATAGATTTTGTATTACCGCCCAAGTATAGTTTTAGCTTTAGGGGGTTCTCAGCCAGCTCTCCGATTCCCTACATAAACTCAGAAAGGAATAGCGAGCAAAATGACACCAATAGCATACTCAACTGTGACCAGCATTTCCACCTTTCGACCCAGTTCTGTGCCGGCTGCTTGCTTTCAGTACCAGCAGAGGCATCAATTGCAACTGTGTAACAACCAGAAGAGAAAACAAAAGTATGAAGATTTCAGTCCTGCCACATGCGACCCACAAGTTCATATGTTTTAATCACAGAGTCCTGTAACGCCCCCCCTGTATTCTCCAACAAAACGACACTCTGTAAATAAACTGAACATATTCTCCATGCTATTGCAAGGTAACCCCACATGTATCCCGAATGACAGTTCCAAGCAGGATTACCAAATAAACACCAATGCATGGACAAATATCTGAAAGGCACAACTGGATTCAACCGTAAAACCTTCATTTGCTACTCGATCAATTCCATTTCCTTGAAATAAAAAGTTCGACACTAATGTTACAATGAGCAGTCGCTCCCACTTGAACCTGGTGGAGAACCTAAAATAATAAAGAGCCTTCTTAATCACGATGCGATACTTTCTGGTGAGCTCATGCTAAATTCACTTCGCAGTGTTCTCATGGATCTCGGTCGTACTGCCACAGAAGCGGGACTGACAGCATCTCCGGCCACGCTCGGACTCGAGCCCGACTGCGAACTTGTTGCAATGCTTGGACTCTCCGATACATCGATAGATCTTTCCTCAGAGATTGTGGACAGCTCAGGCATCGGCACTAGCTTCACTGGGCCAGTCATCGGTTCACCGGTAATAAAAGGATGTGTCAGAAGCATGTCGCAAGTAGGCCGATTTCCTACAGTCACTTCCAGACATTTGGAGATGAAGTCCTTCATCTCATCCTCAAGATCATCCGGAATAAGAGGACCTTCCCCATTGCCGACTTTCCAAAGTACACTATGACACTCCAATTCTCCAAATGGCGCATCTCCGGTTGCCATCTCCAACACCGTACATCCCAGACTCCATATATCAGCCAAGAAGTTGTACTGCCTCTTGGGATTTACCACTTCTGGAGCCATCCAGTGAGCACTACCCATAAATGATTTCAGCAGACCCAGTTTATCTACTTGTTTAGCCATCCCAAAGTCGGCCAGCTTAACCACTCCATTAGTGTCTACCAGAATATTTGCACACTTAATATCTCTATGTATGATCTTCCGATCATGCAGATACTTGAGACCACTAAGAATCTGCTTTGTATACGCCCTAACTTGATCATACACGAAATAATACTTCTTATATAAGCTAGCCAATGAGCCCTTGCTTACTAGCTCCAGAAAAATATAGAGTTTCTCATCATCTCTTTCGGTACCCAGGTACTGAACAATATTTGGATGCTGTATATCGCTAAGAAGTGCTATTTCATGTTCCAATTGCTTGATGGCCTCTTGTCCAACCTTCCCTTGATCTTTAAGAGAAACTTCCTTGACGGCAAAAAACATTCCATTGTTGTCAATACCCTCATACACTGAGCCAAACGTTCCAGAGCCGATAAAGTCACCTTTAAACCAGGTGTCCCAAGGTGGTCTCTTCGAAACAACACCAGGTGATCTTCCTGTACTGACGATACTAGGTTCCTCAAATTTGTCAATAATCAAGGCGGAGGGTATTTTCGATTTTCTAACACTTCCATAATGTTCTGTCCTAGCCTCCACAGAACTATCCTGTTCAGGTTCTGATTCAGGTTTTGCATTTGACTCAGGTTTGGCCGATAGCTCAGGCACTGCAGTTGACTCAAGTTTAGCAGGTAACTCAGGCATTGCAGATGAATCGGGTATTGCACTTGACTCAGGCTTTGCACTTGACTCTGCCTCCTCTGCAAGATTGGGATACTGTCGTTGTGCATAAGGGTTACTTACAGAGCTGTTACTTCGATTGGGATCTCTTATGATGGGAGACCTCCGAACAAGACCGTTCTTAGGCATTGCTACTGCAGCCGAAGGCAAATTATCACGAACGACCTGACTCATGTTCGCATAATCTCCTTCATGATTACCCGGCACCAAATCGAATGACCATCTACGAGTTGCGGTCGATCCCGCAGACTCCGGATGGGCATTGCCAGTGCCTAGGGGAGAAAGGGCTCCCAACGTAGGCATTACTGGGTCCGATTGCATCCTGTGTAGTCCGTACCCTTCCCTGCCCAGTCGAGAGGGCGAGCTATCGAAGGCGGGGAAGGACTCAGGAGGTGGTGAGCGCTGGGAAGGACTATTTTTACGACCATAATGATTTTGTGGTTGGGAATTGACATAATCGCTCCGGTAGGTCATTCTTTCATGCGCATCGAGTTTAACGGGAGCCACCGGAAGTTCGCGAGGCGAAGCAGCGGGCGCTTCTGAACGAAAATCAATAATGCTTGGCTTTAAGTCGTTGGAGTGAGAAGCCTCACCATGCTCTTGTGATAGACTGGGGGAAGAAAGCGGTTGGCTGTAAGCGATGGACTTCCCACGAGATTGCCAGTCCGAGGCCGAAATAGCTAGGTCCGCAGGCTTTGACACACCTATTAATTCATAGAGCGTTTTCAAATCCTCTTCGAAATTGGCTCCCACTCGAAAGCTCTGCTGTTGGATGATACTCTTACTGAGAGGATTCCTACGGGAGCCGGATGAGGATGTGGAATGGACGGAACCGTCGTCTTCGTAGTCTGAATGATCTGCTGATACATCATACTTATGAATCTTTTTGGCAACGGTACGCGAAAGCTTGGGCACACCCTTGCCACCATGAGAGCTCCCTCCATCCTCGCCACTACCCCACGAGCCGCCCCGAGAACTGCGAGAACTACCCCTCTCCTCTACCATCCTTCCTACTCCGTCTCCACTGACGAGTTACTGCATTTCTCGCACCGCACAATTGCATGTCAATCGAAAATCTCAGGCAACCAACACTCTACAGTGACTTCAAACCCCTCGCATAAATCTGTGTAAACCTCCTACCTGCAGCCGTGAGGATTTCAAGATCTCCAAGAACCACATACCCTGGATCTTAGTCTTGTACTCCACTTGAAGCCTCTTCAAAGTTCGAAAATTTCGCCACCCGAAAGCCAGGCCATTCTCCGGAAGTCAGTATGGACCCCATGTATCGTCCACAAGCACGTGCTCCACATGAAGATCTCGAACTTAACCATTCACTCAATCTTGCCACTCGCTGTCTATAGCAAGACAATATACTCTAACAAAACCCTCCACCGCTACGCAAATTCACAAAGCCAAAATTCAAAAAGCAACCCTAATCCTCGTAACCTCTGTATGTATTGCCTACCTCTCGCTAATCCCCCTTACAAAAATAAAATAAAACAAAATAAAGGATGGAGGGAGAAAAAAGGAGGGAGAGAAACGGAACACAAGGACAACTAGCAAAATCCACTCAACGAGATCTGAGAAAACGAACAAACTAAACCCAAACACAGCCCAAACAAAACAAAACGAGAACAGACAAAGACGCGAAAAGAGGATAAAGCTTCGCGGCGCAAAGTAAGAAATATCGCCCTAACCTCTCGACTACGTCACGCTACGAGCATCACACGAAACACACCACAGCAAGCTAGCTAGCAAACAAACAAACAGGTAAGCCGAGCTGATCCGCTGGACAGACTATAAACTCCCCCGACTCTTCCCGTTGCGCTCCGTATTACGCTGCCGACTACTGCTTCCAGTGCTGCTTCTTGCTTGTGCTTCTCCATCATACAATCATCTTCTTCGTCTTCACCTTCTCCTCTCTGCTCCGAGTCTCTCGTCCCAGCCCTCGATACCCATGGCAGCCCATAAATTCGTTCCTCCGAGGAACGGCGTCGTCGTCGTTGGCTTCGACATCGTTGTCCCTCACCCTCCAGTTCCGCAGGGCCTCGCACCCGAGGCTCCTTGGTCAACCCCGTGCCCGGTCTAAGGTATTCCTCTCCTCCACGTACGCTCACTGTACACCGTGTCTACTCCCCCTCTCCCTATCCCGGGTCGTATATGTCGTGTGTATTTTTTCTGCCTCGTCTCATTTCTTATACGATTTCACTAATAATCTCTTGTGAGCTGTTTAATTTTTATTCTGTGGTGGGGTTATTAATGTACTGGTGGTAGTGGTGGTGTTGTTGTAGTTGTTTTTGTTTTTTATTATTTCTTTTTTCTTTTCTTTTCTTTTCTTTCAGTTTTCTTGAAAGAAGTGTTTGATGTTGTTTTTTTTTTTTTCATTTTTTTTTGAAGGTTTTTAGGTTTATTTTATGCAGTGATTATGAAATACATATTTTGTAGTAATATTTGAAAATAACAGAAAAAAATTGATTGGTGAAACGCATAAATCTACATTTACAATGCATTTGAAAACTAGCAGATGTCTCCGCAATTTGAAAATGCCTTGAATATTAGTAATAGTTGGATAGATTTATGTGGCATTTTTTGCATGTAAGTATATGCATATATATATATATATATATATATATATATATTATATTGACATTTACAATTATCAATGAGTAAAAATTATTAAAATATCAACAAATTTTAATTAATAGAGTATTGTGGAATAGCATAGCATTTGGTTTTTAATAGTTTCTTGGCATAATGTTAGAAATTGACCACAAACACCTTTTAAAAAACATAAGTGTTGCAGTTAAATTGAAAAGAGTTTATGATATTACCACTTTCAAAATCATTAGATAATTTTTGGGTGTTTTCTAGAAATACTTAGAGACATCAAGATCATTTGTTTTGAGCATTTCAAAAATGATTTCAAAATCATATTATTAGAAAGGTATCCAAAAGAGGAAAATTATTTCAAAAAATTATCAAAAATTATTATTTTTTTATTACTATTTGGTTCATTTCGGCAACTTTTTAATAAAAAACATTTTAAATAGAAAGTTGCTAAAGAAACACAATAACTAATTATTTTTATAATGCATTTATTGAACTATATCCTACTTATTGTAATTAATCAATCCAAGTTGCCAAACGTTTGTTTGTAGAAAAATTGGCTTTTCTTGCTTGCAACAATGAAGAATATGTAAAAAAAAAAAGAAAAAAAAAAAGAAGTGCCTGAATAGGGTTAGATGAACCATTCAATTGACTTTGTTAAATCGTCTTAATTCAAATATAAATCCATGTTTGAGTTCTATTTACCATACTTTATTTCGACTGGATAATTTTTATTTAGAAAATAAAAATAAGCGTCTCAAAAAACACATCTAAATACGGTTCACATGCAAGGAAAACAATAAGCATACTAAAAATAACATGACTATAGTGTACGAGAATAACTGAATGGGTTTAGGTGGGATTGGATCTGGTGGAGAAGCTTCTGAGATAGCGAGGATCAGGTATATTTATTAACAAACAACCAAGCCCATCAGCGCACAAGGTAATTGCTCTGTCAGAGAATCCTATCGTCAATCCCTCTGCAAATTCCCGCTTTAATGCACCCAAACCAAACCAGGATGCGAGCTACACAAATACATATTATATATATAGATAACGTTTCAAACAACAAGTTAAGCCACTGATACTCTACGAGGTTAGATAACCTGTGTTCTCTGGCACAGAAAGGCTTAAACTGTAGTTTCAGGAATAAGTACATGTTTCCACACAAGAAATGAAGAAGAAACGGGTGCTTTCTTTTTATTTTATTTTAATGATTGCCCAGTATCATTGTGTAGCAGCCAGACCACAAGGAAGGCGAACAATGGTGCCAGCCATGTGGGTACTTGGTGGAATTCATGACCGTGGAGATCGATGTGTAGCTGAGGTCGACAAACTGGACAATGTTGAGAAGACGTGGCCATATTGAGGACATCAGCTTGTGGACCCACAGGACTCAGTCTTGCTCATTGTGAGCTATCTATGTTCGGGTTTGAAAACCAGAGCATATTTCTGGTGATGATTGGCGTTTGTAACCAACATATGGCTAATTCCACCTTCCGTCCAGTTTAAGCACGAGGACCCCAACACGATGCTGGTCTAAATCCCCATGCCTTTCTGAAGGATACAGTCCAAAAGTAACAAGAAACGTTGTGTGCGGCGAATGTATTAGTGCCCCGACAGACCAAATCCACACGCCAGTTAACTCAGAGGGTGTAAATGTGGAAAGTTATTAAGAAGAAGATAAAATAAAAATTGGTACTCCGTTGCGGACGTCTTGGACCAGTGGCCCCATCCACGTGATTGTGTGAAGAATCTCAGCTGCTATCCTAACTGACTTTAGTCATGCTAAAAAATTGTATGCTTCACAGTTGCAGGGACTCATGGCAATGCTCCAATCCAGAGAGGTCAGGCTTTGTGTGAACAGGAGGAGCTGTAGAGAATATGCCAAACCAAATCAATTCACGAAGGGAGCGAAAAATTGACGGCAGCTGTTCGCATTTTGCTCCCTACTTCATTCCATCTCGAATTTGGTGCCATTGCTCCGAATACAAACACCTACCAGAAACATTTTCCAACAATGAGCGGAATGCTTACGAAAGTGGCTGGGCAAGCACACTGCAGTAAATTCGTGAGGGTAGAGAGATAACAAAATACACGTACCCTTCCTCCCGCAGCTGCAGCGGACATTGCCACCCGTTTGTCGTTCTTTGCGAGGAACTCATACAAGTAATACGTCCTTGAGCCAGTTCAGAAACACACAACAAGTTGCAGAATATCAAGATCTGATTGTCAGCATTTCGAATATATATATTCCAGGCTAGACACCCACACTACCCTGCAAAAATATAACATAAGATGAAATGTGATGTACCTGGGGATTCTACTGTCTGTGGGCTTAAGAGCGGCGGCGGCCACAATTTTTGACCCTGCTGCACTCGTCGAATTCAAGCACAAGTGTAAGTTCTTATTGTTTGTTTTAATATAGTCTCCACGTGATATTCTTTCCACTATCTTGTTCAACATTGTTAATGGAATCCTTCCGCGAGGTTGAAATAGCCTGACGACTTTTAAAAGCTAAAACCTCAGCGACTAGCCAGGCTTCGTAGATCAAGAAAATCATGTGGATAACTACAGGCAACCGAAGAATGGAAAACAGTTCATCTGAAAAGATCTCAACTTACCAGGAACAAACATTTTGGCTGCCTCTTCCAACGTTCCAAACTCCGTGATGTCTTGTGTCTAGAAAGAAAGGAGTAAAGATACAAAGTTTCAGTATTATCGTTTAAAACAGAAACTAGAAACTATTCTCAATGAAGACAAATCACAGACGTGCAAAACAAAGGTAGAGAGGCACCTCATAGAAGGAAAGTTTGAGTTGCGATGCATTCCGTACGACAACACTCAGAACTTCCTTTCTGTACATCAACCATTGAATAAAGCTTTTAAAAAACTAGTGCATCCGTTGAATCTAATGAGTTGCCCAACTTCCTCTGTTGAAGAATCTAGCAAATAAAAGGGATGAAATATCTGAGGTGAAATTTAAGACAAAAGTATGGTGCAGGCGCACGATCGTTACTGAAAAAAGTAATTCTCTATCAAATAAAAGGGCACATTAAAGGAAACAACATTATTGCTAATACTCAAATTGCTTGAACAAGAACGTGCCTGTCAGGAGATGCAAAACGAGCTGCGAAAGGCCTCTCCTTCGCACGCTCTCCATACAACGAACTTCCACTTTCCTTGAATCAATCGATGGAAATATTAAAATTAAATAAGGAAAGAAAAAGAAAACATTTTCGTACGCACCTCCCCGCAACTTCGACCAAAGGCTCCCAATCCTCACATTTGAAAACCCTACCTTCCTGTGATCTGACAAAGCAGTTCCCACGGCTATCTGTATTGCCAAAGCAATGAAACCAAAACAAACAAAACAAAACAAAACCCAAAGCTCTGAACAATTCAAACACCTGTAATTGGTGCTTACATCATACTCGACAATGTCCTCAAAGTCGGGGGGATACTTCATTGTGAACCCTTCTCCTCGAAACCTGTACCACGTATCAGTATTAACACGGGACTTTTTAGGTTTGCTCGCCGATTGCTGAGCAGTGGCTGTTCCATCCCCTGCTAACGCTTCCTGAGATACAGGCGCTTCCGGCTGAATTTCTGCAGGCTCAGCAAGCGCTGGGAAACGGTCAAGCACAGCTAGTGAAGCTAACGTGGCTCCCGTCTGCAAAAAGCTTCTTCGCGATTGGATCACTAACTCGTCCGCTGCAGCGTGACGACCCTGATACAATCCGCCCCAACACGCCCCAAATCGCATAAACCCACAAACCTCCATCCCAAATAACAGAAACGATTCAATGCCTCCACTTCCGACCCCAAATACACAGTCCATAAACACCACCAAGCATAAAACGGGACGAAGATTAAACACGTTGGTTCCACTGTCGTTGAATTACACTTCTCCCCATGTGACATTCACAAAAGAACTCAAATTCAGCGCCGAAAATGCCTGAAGACCGAGCACTAACCTCCGAAATATCGAAATTAAACCCACCCACTTGCGACATCGACGAAACTAGCAATCTCTCGTCTCTGGCATCGCCTCCGCCTCGACACCGGGATCTCGCTCGCCCAGCCACCCGTTTCCGCAAAGTCGACTCTGGCATAGCTGGGTATATGGAAACGGAGCCCGCAACGGCTGTCTGCAAGCCAGCGAGCGCCATAGCCATTGCCGTCGACGCAAAAGAAACAAAACTTCAGCCCCTTCGAAAACAAACCAGCAACTGCATGCAACACCAACAACCACAACACCACCACCAACAGCAGCAGCAGAGTGTGCAAGGAACAGGATCACGTCGCGGGCCGGGCCGAGTCGGATCCTCCCGGCACGCCGGTGATTCTGAAAACGTGTAGTGAATGGATGATGAGATCACTTAGGAGTCATGGGTATGGCCTTGTTTCATGGGTTTGGAACAAACTACCCCTTGTAGTATATTGAGGAATATATATATATATATATATATATATATATTTTTCGTGGATCATATTTTTATTTTATTAATTAATTTATATATAGAGAGAGGTGAATGTTAAAGAGACCCAAGTTTTACTAAATTAACCCACATGTTCTAACATGAAAAGAAAAAGGGAAAAAAATTACCTTTGGATTCATTTTTCCACTATTTGATTTGCAACCAATAAAAACCAACCACATTCATCATGATTACCATATTTTTCATTGAGAGTAGGTCTATTTTGCAAAAACATGGATCTATTTAACATTCCCCTTTTTATATTTACATTACAAAAAATGTCTCTAAAGCTAATTTAAAGTTGACACCCAAGATAGAACTTATGTGAAGTTCATGTGTGTGTATATACATGTTGATTAATTAGGGCTAGATTTTTACATGACATGCATTTTGTGAAAAACATGTTCATGATTGATGAGCAAAAGAACAGAGATGAAAGTTTGAAGATGTGATTTTGGGTACATATTATTTGTTTATGTCTCACAGATTTGTATGACTTGTGGAAACAGATGTTATTAAGCACAAATTCTTTTGTATGAATCTATTTGGTACTTGATTTTTGGAATTTAGACACATGAGTTTATAAGCTCCATATGATCCATAGTTGTTTCTATTTTAATTCTTAGAGAAATTTGTATGGATTCATGTTGATAGTTTATGTGATCAAAGTAAAATTGAGAATATAACTTCAGCAAATGAGAAGGATTGTTTATGTCCTGATAGGTCAATAATAAATCTTAACCCAAATAAACAAACACAATAATATATCTATATATATATATATATATATATGTATGTGTTTGTGTGTGTATGTGTCACGGATTCAAAAATATATTGAAAAGTGACTCAATCAAAACATGTTTTTCGATACCATGTTGATAATTCAACATACTTTAAATAACGATGCGACGAAACAAATTTAGAACACACACATACATGGAAAGAATGAAAGAGATCGGATAAAGAGGCACTGGAGTGAATGGGGGATGACGTCGGCATGCCAACGTGGCAAGGGGACGGAGGAGAGAGCAAGAGCACGGGTCGGGGGACAAGACACTCGCCCAGGATGTGAGCAAGGTGGGGGGCTCGCTGCTGCTGGTGTGACCGCAGCAGTCGCGAGGAGCCGCGTCGTGCCGTGCCGTGACGCGACGTGACTTAACGTGCCGTGCCATGGAACGACAGAAGGGCAGCAGGGGGTCGGGGGTTGCAAAGCGAGGGCAACCACGAGGACCGCGGGGCTCGCATTTTGTGAAGCGGAGTTGTCTCCGTGCGAGGTTTGTCGTCGCTCGGGCACAGAGTGGCCAGTCAAACACAGTCCTCCAGCTTCGTCGCTACCCTCTCTCGCTCTCTCGCTGTCTCTCGCTGTCTCCCGCTTCCTCCCTTTCCCTGTGTGCCTGACTCCCTCGCTCTCCGCATGGTTTTTCGCGTTTGTTCAATTCGATTCACGCTTTTCTTCTATAGCTCGACCCTTGCCTGTGTTGCTGCCACCCCTCCTCCACCCTCCCCCTTGCCATTTTGCAGCTCTGCACCCGTGCTCGTGACCTCGAGGGGAGGAGGAGGTTTTGCCCTTTTTTTTTTTTTTTTTTTTTTTTTTTGGGCCACCTTTCGCTCTGGCCTCTGGGTCAGTTCCGTTTCTGGGCCTGGCTGTGAGAGCCTTGGGTTTTCTTTACTTTTGTTTGTATTTTTGTTTGTATTTTTGTTTGTATTTTTTTTTTGTATTTTTTTTTCCTTCTTCTTCTCCTTCTTCTTGCTGCTTCGCGCCATGGAGGTCACTGCGGGAGCCTCGTTTGGCTAAGTAGAATCTTGCGGAATAGTTGTGGATGGACGTTAGGTAGCAGGCAGCACACAACTGCCTCGCTTTTTTAGGTGGTAGGTTGAGACGCATCATGTGCACTTGTTGGAACGCCCTCGATGGGGCGTGGTTCGGTAGCTGTTGGTGGTCTAAGTCGAGTAGTACTGCTGCTGCATCTCATAGTATGCCCCACACAGGTTTGAAACCCTTTGCCGGAGCTTCTGATTTTAGTTTTGTGTTTATTGGTATGTGTGTACAGACATTTTTAATTTTTTTCAAGGGGGGTTTGTTTTTTTGGTGGCGTATTCTGTTAATTTTTTGTCGGTCTCTTTTTGTGCTCCCTTTGTTGGCGTGCCTCAGTGCTTCGGCAGGTTAAAGTAGCATGCGCCGGCTTATTCCTCCCATGGTTATCCTTTTTTATGAGCTGACTAAGTTAGGTTTTACCATGCCGACAGATGCTGTTTTTTCTCTTCTAAGCTGCGGTGTCAATTGACAAAGTTGTGCTGAGTCTAATACCGGTGCTGCTTACCCACTCTTTTTCCTTTCTTGTGCTTTGGCTAGAAAGTAAGAAGGATCCGCTTCATGGGCAGGCACCCAGTGAGCAGGTGATTGTATCGATCCGTGAAGTTGGTATAAAATCATCAGAGGAGATACGTCAGGGAGGGAACCTTCGCATCTTCACTTATCAGGACCTGAAGTCCGCGACGAGAAACTTTCGTCCCGACAGTTTGTTAGGAGAAGGTGGTTTTGGTAGTGTATACAAGGGGTGGATTGATGAACATGGAACAACAGCTGCGAAAGCGGGTACAGGGCTGACCGTGGCAGTCAAGCAACTAAATCAAGAGGGCCTGCAGGGTCACAGAGAGTGGCTTGTAAGTTTTTAAAAAAGTGTGTTTATCACCCAATTAAGAAAATTCAGTGGTAACTGATCAGGCATGAGTGCTTGAGTTCGAACATCAATTTCCCATTTAGTCATTTCTACTCTTGCAGCATAATGTCAAACACTAGATGGAGGTGAGAGAAACTCTAAAAAAGTATCTATAATTTGAGTAGATTCAGCTCTGAATGCACACTGATTGACATTCACACTGGTGCCGTGATCATGTTTCAGGCCGAAGTGAACTTTCTCGGTCAGCTTCACCATCCGAACCTTGTGAAACTCATTGGATATTGCTCAGAGGATGATCAACGTCTCCTGGTTTACGAATTCATGCCCAGGGGAAGTTTGGAGAATCACCTGTTTCGAAGTGAGTCGTTACATATGCTATTTGCTTATCATTTACTTACCAAAAGCTTTCACAAGTTCACTCTGAGCTGAAAGATTCGCTTTCTGGGGTGTAAGACATCCAATTGATCAAAATTGTATTCAGGTCCTTTTGATGCCGTGACTTATTGGTTTGGGATATGTTTTCATGTTACTTCGTTCTTTTCCTTCCTGAATCTAGTCTACATGAGATTGTTCTTGGACAACATCCTGAATTATATGAGAACCTTTAATTTTCAATGTTACTGCGCGTTACCAGAATGTTGGTTGTTTCACCACTTCAACTATCTCTATTACTTGCAAGGTTACTGTCAGAACAGAGATACCAATATATTGACTAGTGTGGCTATCAGTTTTGTGATATTTAATGTGAAACGAATGCCTAGATTCTTAGATGTCTTATCGATTATGGTATAACACGCGTTTGAGTAAACCATGCAGTCAATTCACTCTTATTGGAGCGAGGTTCCCGATTTTCTCAAATGATTCCATGAAGGTCCATTGCATATCGATGTGCTGAATAGTTATTCCGGAATTTGACACCTTAGTTTTACCTTCCTTTATGTGCTTCTCTTTTGAGGCTTCGAAATCGTTTTCATAGATTTCCTGGATTGGTTGTCATTTGAGCGAGTGTTTTATGCCTTCATAGACTCATCCGTAGATAATGAAAGTTTTAATTGTCATGATTCTTTACTGTTTTCTTCAATCGACGATCCAAGTTTTACCAAGCTGTTAGTTTCGAAATAGCGGTGTCGTCTCGTAATATATGTCCGCTTAGTTTTGACCAAGTGGACTATGCGCATCATATTCTCTCTTGAAATCCTTAGCGGATAGACATCTGCAGACATGAAGGATAGTATCTATTGTCATCACGAAGTCGCATAATGCTGTACGTCAGGTGTGCGTCTTTGAGGCATTTTCAAATGGTCAATCTCTCAGGGGTTGTGGTGTGCTCTACTTATGGGGTATATTTGTTTCTTTCTTGGATGCCTCCTCCAGGTTTTGAGCGATCTTGTAGCACTGTCCTCGTCAAGGACAGAGCAAGATCTGTACTGCTCGGGTCACAGTGACAGAGATCCGACCAACTGACACTTTGGCAAAGAAGTGGATAAACTTGGATTGGTGCAAAACTAGAAAGGGAGAAGAGTATCTGGATCTAACTTGATCTGGACTTTTGCAGAGGGGGTGATGCCATTACCTTGGTTGACGAGAATGAAGATAGCATTAGGAGCTGCAAGTGGATTGGCATTCCTCCATGAAGCAGTGAAACCAGTTATCTATCGTGATTTCAAGACGTCCAACATATTATTGGATAGTGTGAGTCATCAAACCTTCTGATGCATAAACGTAGCAGTTCGAATTTTAGCATGATCAGATTTGCAGAGATCAGGATCACTTGTGCTGGTGAGGCTGAAGTGAATCGTCGTTTTTCTTTCGTCTTTTATCTTTTGTTGATAATGTAAGATTTTTATAAAATATTTTGTACGCAATAGAGACTTTCGTTTCGTATAGTCTGTTCCTTGTATGGGACTTGATGTCATCCTCTGTCCTCAAACCTAGTTCTTGGGTGTCAGGATTACACAGCTAAGCTATCTGATTTTGGCCTAGCGAAAGATGGGCCTGAAGGAGACAAAACTCACGTATCAACACGTGTCATGGGCACCTATGGCTATGCTGCCCCTGAGTATGTGATGACAGGTGTGATTCTTCCCTATTCATTCGTGTCTTTTCGAAAATGTATTCAGGCGCTTTGCCGAGTACTCGCGGAAACTTATCTTGTATATGCAGCGATCTGATTTTGTGTAGGTTCTTCATTCGGTTGCTTCATTTAACTATGTATTGATTTGCAGGGCATCTGACATCTAGAAGCGACGTGTACAGCTTTGGGGTGGTGTTGCTAGAGATGTTGACAGGGCGAAGGTCAGTTGATAAGAATAGACCAAGTGGAGAACAGAATTTGGTTGAATGGGCGCGGCCTTACTTGAACGACAAGCGCAAGTTCTATAGACTAATTGATCCACGCTTGGATGGTCAGTACTCAGTAAAGGGTGCTCAGAAGGCTGCTATTCTCTCTCATCATTGCCTAAGCCGTGATCCAAAATCACGACCTCTAATGGGTGATGTGGTTGACACGTTGAAACCACTGCAAGACATGAGGGACATGTTTAGTAGCTCAAGTAACCAGGCATCTACCAACTATCGATCCACAGGCATGAATGGCCATGGAGGAGGTCGCCCTTATCATAATGGTCATGGTCATGGTCAAAAAAAGTACGAGCAGTTGCGGAATATACCCGTTCGGGCGAGTGGTGTATCGCCTCTGCCAACCTACTAGCACTAGTGGAGGGCGTACACTGATTACATTCTAGGACTAGGATTGCTTTCACTGGGAACTGGTGGTATTTGTGTTATCTAGTGTAAGCTACTGAAGGAACTGTTATGCATGACGGAGCAAACACTCTGTAAAGGCTAGAAAAGTTTCGGGCAAAGCAAGATAAGGTATGCAGGTGTCAAACAATTATTCTTATGTTGCTAAGTTCTTTGAGGCCTCCTTTTGATGCCGACTCTGGTTATTATGGTATATGAACTTACCACCATGCAAATAAACCCCAAATTTTCGTTCTCTGTATTCCTTCAGTCGGTGAGCCTGGTGCAACGCCCACGTCTGAAATCTATTATTCATAGTCGCGAAGGTCAAATTTAGGTGTTTTTAAGACTAAAGTATCATGTAACTTGTAAGGAGGGTACGTAATGCCGTTGGAGTATGCTGGACAGAAGTTGTCACCAGGTCGCCTTTCTTGGTAAGCAGATTCCTCGTCTGTCCTCCAATGATTGGGAATCCTCAGAAAACCATTGCAAGATTTGTTGTATCAAAGGATGCCTCTTTCTACCCAGTATTTGACAGTAGTTTATTTTGTCCACTTGTATTGTCGCAGTCACACAGTAAAGTTGGGGCTTAAATAGTTCGAAAGATGATAGCTCTGCTGTATTGAGAAACTAGCGTCATGGATTTGATCGTGTTCGGATCTGCTCTAAGAAAGGTTGGGGGGTTAGGGCTATTCTATTACTTATTAGATTTTTTGCAGGAAGAAACATCTGAAGAACGAGGTCATTCGGAATTGTTGAAGAATTGCACTTAGTTAAATGCTAGTTTACACTTCGCTGCAAAACTATAGAGTATCAAGGCCGTTCTAAAGTTGTCAAAGATTCGATGGAAGTAAGATAAATTTTGCAGTGGGTAAAGAATTTCAGTTCCCACTTGTTATTGTGTATGATTCTGCTTGACCATCGTAGGGCATATTATCTCAGAATGTCTGCATCACAGATAGAAATATGCACAGCAATGCGACACGCACGGGCAATTTGCGGTCTTTGCAATGGAGTTGGGTTATAAAAACTTTTCATTGAGTTGGGCGTGCACATGTTCATTGTTTTAAGGCCATTGATCCAAAAGTGTTCGCCCGTGGTTTGGATATAACGGCGTTCATATACTATTTTATAAAGTGTTACGTTGGCGACTAGATTTGGTTAACTTTTTTGACGAAGATAATCTTTGCATTACATTAAAAGGGGAAAGGGTGGATTGAAATGTCACTTCGTACATGCGCACTCCGGTCCATATCCAGATACACTAGTATTGGAAATTTGAAAGTAGTGTCAACGTCGGCTATAGGTAGAAAGTGGAATAATTCATTCGCCCTTTTGACCAATATACATGCCTTTAATGACCTGCACCGAATATACCATCGACTTCCCATTAAATGGTTTAACAGGCTGGATGATATACCGATCTCAATCTGATACGAGAAGTATCCAATCAATGTCGCCAGTAACATCTAGGTGTACGTCTACTGTGATGCTAATGTAAGTTCTACTCTGTGAGTCAAGTTAGATGCCACACAGGCAGCCCTTCCCCGCGTTATACAATATGTCACTTGCAACGTATAGGGAACCAATAGTTGGCGAGAAAATTGACCAAGCCCGGTGCTAACCATCAGCGAGGTTTTTCATGTGGACTTTGAATGACTCCATGTTGGTGTTGAACCAATTCTTAACCGCCTTCTTGTCAATGTTCTTGATGGCACCCAGTTTATTGTCGATCTTATTCTGGACGTTGCTGAACCTGCCTCCTGAGTTGGGAGCGTTCTCATCCGCGTAACGCGATTGCCATGATGGTTTTTTCTCTACGATCACTTTGAGAGACTGATCCTTGGGGTCAGGTAGACTCAGAAGCTCAGGCATCAAATCTCGGCATGAAGACCCATTCTGCAGAGTATAGAAAACACGATTCACAGCTGCCCTCATTCCTCAAAGAAAAACCAAAATAAATCAAGACAAGAACAAGCGTCTCATCTGAATCAGAAAGACTGCATGAAAAATTTGTGAACCGGCTGTTGCGATTAGCACAGAACAAACAAATCACTGGTCAGAGACAGGTTCGAACGCAGGGATGTGAAACCTCGAAGAAGAAATCTTACCAAGTCATTAGAGCATATTTTCGCTGACAGCACCTCTTCCTTGGACTCTTTGTCGAAATCAAGTTTCTTGGCTGCAGAAGGTTCAATGGTTTCACTTGAAATAACTTCAAGAGGTTTCTGGGGTGGTAATAAACCGCTCTTGGAGCCTCCTGGTGAAAACGGAGGTTTGATAGGTGACTGTTGGGGAGTCAGGACATTGGAATTGAGATCCAGAAGTTTAGAGAAGGAGAGGGATCGAGAACGCACGTGCGTTGTCTCTGAAGAAGGTTTGCGATCATCTAAATTCCTCAGTTTGGCTATGTGGTTAATGAATGGGTTACTGGGTGGAGCTCTCAGAGGGTTTTTCCGTGGACATCTCATCATGGTATCTCCATACGGTTCCTGTTTTTCCGCTGGGGCCTCAGACAGATTATGTTCAACCAGCGGTGCAAGAGTGCGTTTAAGCTTTCGCTGTAGGTCGGCAACTGTATCCGAGGAAATGACTGGAATAGTTAGGGTACCTTTAACCTGTCCTTTACTTGTCCGCATCAGCTTCAATTTAGTCGCGTTTGGTTTCTGCCCAGAGCCTTCCTTTGGGAGATCTACGTGAGAAACAGGTCAACGGGATTATTTCCTCTGGACGATTCTGGCACGCAGTTATCGAAAGCGTGCATATGTTGAGACGCTACTGAGAACAAGTACAAGTATACACAATTACAAGCAGGGTTATCACCTTCTTTGTTATCGCAGGAGGTAGATTTCTTAGCAAGATTACCAGCGCACTTGGACATGGTAACAGTTAGTACACTGTCTGGTTCAATAAGGTAGCTTCCAAGTGTTTTCTTCTCTTGTAGAAGTTTTCCTGCCATAAGCACCATCCAAGTACCATGAGCTTCTGGCTACGAAACCCGAATGCTTCATTTTACTGTGTGCGAAGTGAGGAATCTGCGCACAACTGGGTCAAAAGTATATTGGCAAAGACGAAAACCTGAATAACTGATCTTTTGCTGGGATGGTACAATGCCAATGCGAGACTCCACACATTTAAGAATTGAGAGAACAGTGTCACGTCCGTGAACGGTAATGGAGAATTCTTCTTCACCAACGACGTTTACGTGTACGACCATACGTCTGTGCATTTTCTCGGTGTACTTGTCATCTGCGTCCAAATTTACAATAGAACTTGTTAGGAAATTAACCCGAAAGGGACGTAATGATACTGCTTGATTTCGTTCGCATCCGAGCTTCTACAGTACCTGTTTTGCAGAGGTCAATCACAGAGTCTTCGTGGATCTTATGCAGCCCATTGAAGTCTCTTATTAAGAATTCGTCATGCATAACGCGTCCTAAACACGATAGAAGCTGATGCGAGACGGGTATAGCAGTCAATTCTTCCAAACGATGCTTGATATCGGATATCGAGGTGAGTGGTGATACTCCGAGCAATGGAATGATTCCATCTTCAGTTTCGACGAACACCCGTCCGCCGTCTTCAGACAGAGGGCGAGGAAGCCTCTGCAGAAACAAGTGTAGCAGTCAGGATCTCCACGTCTTCACAGCATTTCCAAACCATCAGATGGTCGCAGAGGCCCCTACGACTTCCTATCAGTCGCAAATTCTGAAGCAATAACTGGATTCACAAGAACGCAGAAAGATGCCTTCACGAGAATCACTAGCAAGAAGGGATTCAATTAACGCACTCTCAGATGAAGGGTGCTCCTGTCCAGAATATGATACTCCTCCAACCGCTTGTCACCAACAAGATCTACAACTCGACCCCCTTCTCGTCCGTACATCTCAAATGTATCCTCATCTAAGTGCAATTCGGAAATTTCGTAGTCAGCCTGTAACATATCCAAAGATTAGATAGGTCGAGTTCTGAAGCCCAAGCCTCAGTTCTCGGTGAGATTCGTATTACACGCCAGTACAAAAGGTGCAGGTCACAGCACGACAATATTCCCGTAATTATTGAAGGTTGACCTTCGGATCAAAGACTTGAACGCCATGACCCTAAGCAGAGAACTAGAGGACAATGCATACTGATACTATCTAAATCGAGCGGCCTTCCAGGTTGCACGTCTGGTGATTCGTGAACCCTCTACTTTCTAGCTATACCCATTGGGCAGATAAGACAATCTCATAGACGTGGAAATATTGCAGTGGATCCACCGACACTTCCAACAACAAACCCAGCAACAATTCCGTCACCAGAGCATCTATCAGATAGATCATTTACGGCACTCCAAGGAGAGGACCGACGTGACAAGGGGCAGGGAGGTTGCACCTGACAGGTATATCTCTTATAAATGTCTTCCACACTATCCTTCTCACTTAAGTGGGTGAAGAAGGGTGCAGAAAGAAGCTGACACTCCTCTGGAATGGACAAGTTTCTCTGAATGAAAGCATTTATGGTTTCTTGGACAGTTCCATGAAAATTCAAGTTGGGCACCAGCAAAGTTCGTGACTTATCCAGCACTGGGGCAACTAACAGGGCGTTCGCAATCGGGAGTTGGTCCACTTTCACAGCCACAGTAATCCCCATATCCACAGCAATTGATAACTCCTGCGACTAAAAAAAACCCGTAAGTGGTACGGATGAAGTTATTACGAGGATTAAATTCTTCTCTAAAGAATAGGAGGTGCAACATTACAAAAAAAAGTCAAATGCAAACCGCTGCATTGATTGAAAATGCCGCATCAGGTTAAATTACACCAAAGGCCAATAATACATGCAGAAGGAATAGAAATTGATCCGCAAGCCACTCAAGGGGGAAATCTACTTCCATTGGAACTACAGAGCGGTGCCTGCATCGCCTCAAGCATGATGGCCATCGACAGACATGAGAGAAGTGCAGTGAGATCACGCGAGCGCAGACCTACTCGGATAAAAATACAGATATAACAGTTGATGAACAAAACCTTCCAATTCTACGGAAAATCAATTCCCACCCACGAAACTTTTTCCAGCTTCCACCACAACATACCCGACAATTCCACAAGGTCGGACTACACCACGCTAAGCGCCAGGAAATGGGTACGTTTGACGATGGGTACCTCAGAGGAAGGGGAAAAGAAGTCGCATCAAGCTAATGCACGCTCCTGCAAATTGAATCCACCTCGCACCTCAGTCCCCCACCAAGCCGACTCCCGCTGCAATAATACGATGTTTGTACGCCGTGCAGCCGACTCTGCTTAATAACGAAGGCGCTCACAGCGGATCCAGGAGTTCGGTAAGAGATTGATACAATCGGGCAATCAAACCAAGCTCAATGCAGCCGCCAATGGCAAACGAAGGGACAAGTGGGCGATAAATGGAGGATGGGATTGAGCAGAGCGCGGGGGAGTCCACGAGCAGTTTTGAAACGGGTCTTGTTGATTGCTTTGCGACCTTCCTGCTCATTCTTGCGACCTCTCTTCTTCGAGTTGCGACCTTCCTCCCGTAACGGTCACCTCCATCCCCCCATGTCCCCCATCGGGGCTCATGTCCCTGGGCTCCACCTCATTTCCTTTAGATAGATTTCTGAAGGAATATAGTTTGAGCAAAAGAATATTGCGGAGTGTGATTTTCATCAATCGAGAAAGTGATTGAGTCTTGTAAAAGTGTAGACAATTTATAGATATCAATAGCTGGTATTAAACATTTCATTAATTTCGTGTATTGTACAGTATATATATATATATATATATATATATATATCTATATGTTTTTTTTTATGTATCTGTATATTGTGTAATTCGTGGGTTCATGGTACTACTTTTTTTTTAATACCGCCTGGGAAAACAATCAAGGATAATCATTGTGATGGGTTTATTTGGGAATACTTTATGATTTTTTTATGAGGTCTTTGAATATATTTGAGCTTACAAAAAAATTAAAAAATTAAAGGTAATTATGATATTTAAATTTTTGTTAAATTAAACATTACACACTTTTGTATGTTTATTTATGTATTTAAATGATGATTGTAGAATGAAATTATACTATCCACTCTTTGTATGAGAGTTGAGTGCTCCATACTCCATAGCAGCGTTCAATTCTGCTTATAATATTTTAGTAGGCTACATTAATGCGCTGATAAATAAATGGATGTTCTTTATTTTCTTGTAAGCTAGTTCAGTTTTGTGTTATGTTTAACCTTTTAAATAACTGTGATGTTCTTGCCGCAATTGATTACAAAGGATCTTTCATGTTTTAATTCAGTGAAGTACAAAAATACCAACATAGCCTTGAAACTAATGATTTTAGTGCTTGTGGAACTAACTCGAGGAGGTTAAATTAGGCACTTTTTTATTGCATTTGGAACACAGTGTATTTCTCTCAACTGCTTGTTGTTTTTCTCACTTTTGAACAATATTTTTCTGTGAGTTTTTAGATTACGGATACAGCTTTTGTTTATTCTTTTAAGAAACTATAACTGTAACTATATATATATATATATATATATACATGTAAATCTTGCAGTTGACCCAGATACAATTTTTATTTTATGTTTTATAAACATTGTTATTCATTTTAAAGTTCAATTTGTAAGGTGTATTCTTTGAAAGTATTATCTACCTTAGACCTGCTTTTCTCTGCATCATTGAAAGTATGAACAGGGGCTTTCAGCGACTTCTCGATTCAGCATGGCAACTGGGACCAATTATTTTTAAGTTTCAAAACTTTCCACTTTAAAAACTGTAACAGTTCTGACATTATTTCCTTGAAATCTTTTTGCTAAAAAAACATCCACCCAAATTCGAATCATATTAGTTTAATGTTTATTATGATACACTCCAATCACTAAGTTTATAACTGTCAATTTACTATAGTTAACATCTGATTGGAATTCGAATTTATTCATTTATTTTTTGCGAACATCAACATGAACAAATCAAGTAAAAAGTAACCATTTCCCCAATATTCGCACTGTGTATTGGCCAAAACTTGATAATATTCCAAATTATTTTCCACCATGGTCTTCACTCAATGCATTTTGGCTAACTTCAAGTAAGCTGCCGGTTATTATAAATGAGATGAATCAAGGTGTATTGAGCACCTCGCTTTCTTAAGTTCGGTGGGTTTCAAAGTCGGCTTGGTTATTTAGAAACTGTGAACAGGGCCTTGCATAAGGAATTACGGAACCAGGATTCAGTCATACTCAGAATTTCATCAAAGCCCACATCCCAAAGCCTTTGAATTTGGAAACACAACCAAGGTAAAAATAAATAAATAAATAAATAAATAAATAAAATGGGGTTTCCACCCTCCGCTTTGCGAGCTCTGTGGCCTCTGACATTTCGGTGGACTTCCAACAGAAAGAGGTCGGCCAGCAAAGTTGGGTTCCACGCTGTTGCTGACGCGCATAGAAAATAACACACACAACGTTCTAGTTGGCAACTGGTTACCTTCAGTGCTGTTCAGTTGACCAAGTTCACTATCATATAACCTGCATTTGTATCGCTAGTGACATTCAGTGTGAACTTGAAAGTTATTCCATTTCAACATTGATTGACGTATCAGACTCAAATCCTTTGGGAGAAAAAACATGGGGAAGATAAAACAGGACAGAAATGGGAGAATGATGCAATACAATCCGCGTCTCATTATCTTTCCTGGTGTAGCCAGTTCCACTTGGTTTTGACGTGAAGAGCAAATTCTTGCATGTAATTGCAATGAGACAGTCAGTACTGTTGGAGTTGACACTCCAAGCTGAATAGAAACTACTGTATGATCAACATTATACATTCATCATATTGTGGATTGAATCGATCATTTGAAGGCCAAAACAATTGGCTAAACATGACACATGCAAAGCTGACTTTCTTACATGATTCTGGGATTCCATACTTGTAATACGACCATTCACATTCCATGCCTCGAGGAACAAAACAAGTTTCAGAGGTAAACCATCAAGGAATCAGTAGATAGAAGTAAACCAGTAGAATACTAGGATAGCTACAAAAGAACATAAAGACAGCAAGAAAGAGAGCAGGAAAATTGAATGTAGCAAACTTTTCATTACAAAAAGACAAAAGAAGTGGAATCCCACAGAGCAGCACTAAAACCTACGAAGCTTTAAAACCTTATGCTACATCGTTTAACCTACAGCACCCATGATACATATACAATGAAATGCTAACAGCTCGTCCAAGGTATTGGGCCATCCACTTCAAGATCTTTGGAACGGGAGAACGCACTGTCGCGAGATGCATCACCGTACAAACGAACCAGACTTCTCCTTTTTCGCAAAATTATCAGAAGTCTCCATTATCGACTCACTTGCATTGACCATGTCGAGATCATCGCCCACGTCTGCCGCACAAGAGATCATTGTCAAGGCAACTCTGCTAGTAATACTGGTCATCAACAAGAAGACAAGTTTAAGGACTCAATACTGAAGATTCAACGCAACTAACAAACCTTGACAAAGCTTCCGCTTCTTGGACCAAATCGCCGCCTTGAATCCTCTTCTCTCCCCCCTCGCAGCTTCTGGAAACTCTTCAGTCATAATCTCATCAAGCTCCGACTCGGACATCTCTAACAATGTGGCTACCGTATACTTGCTAGAAGCTAGTTTCTTAGCAAAATCTCGAACGGTATCTTCTTCCAAAAAATCCTGGAGCAACACCTCGATGTTGTCTTCCAAAGTACCCGCCATTTGCATTTGTCTAATTGAATCTTGCAGACTAACCACCTTTGCTATTTTTTTCTTAAGATATATGCTTGAAGAAACTCCTGAACAGATGGCAAAAATGCACAATCTTTCAATATAGTGTGTACCAAAGAGATCAATCTAGCATTGAGAAAAAGCATCGAGGAAATTAAGATGAACCCGAAAATACCTAGTCATTTGAAAAACAACTTACAACTTAAAACTCAAGGAGGTATTTATAGCCTAGAACACCTGTACGGGAAGGAAAATAAAAATAAAAACGATAAGCAGAAAGCAACCTTGACCCCAACGCAAGCAGTTGAGTCTGCTTTTCTCCACGTTGTTATTGCAGTGTGAACCCGTTAAGCTACACAAAATTAGTACCCTCACATCTTTAATTGTGAAACACAATCATGTGAGGGATGGCAAGTAAAAAAATTACCTCCAAAGTAAGGAGTGAGCAGGCCACAAGGAGGCCGGGGAGACGGAGAGGTTCCAAAGCGTGCTTGCTTCCGAGCAGAACCAATGCGTGACTGCTTGGGACTGCCTCCTATCAGCTCATCCAATGCCTCAAACCAGGGCCATTTGCAAGGCACATTGCCAGCCAATTTGTCTTTCTCCTGCAACAAGTAAATTCAGAAGATGGGGACGCTTGGTTACAGTTCAGTAAAAACCAGTGTGAAACGCCGTTTCGTCAGAATCAGTGGCATTTAAATGATATCCCAAATGGTTTAGGCCAGCTATGTCACTTTGATCCGAACTTCGATTACATCGGAAATCTTAATTGCTATGTTAACCTTGAAAAAACTCGAGACGATATGATGACAAGCCAGCTGTAACCAGTGTCTACCACTCTGCTGGTGAATAAGCAGAGTTAGATTCATAATACTCCGGGCAAGCAGAACATAGTCAATCATAAATTAACCTGACGATATCGTTTCTTTAAACTGTCGACTTTCATGCGGCATTGCTCCTGCGTTTTGTGAGTCTTCTCATTTGCACAGTGAGTATTAACTTCCTTTGCCACTTCACCCCAGTCTTTGCTACGAAAGTTGTTGCGGTCCAGCGCATGAAATTTCTCCCTACAAGATATCAAGACATAAAGGTTACAGACAATAGAAGGTCGATCCGCTCCGGCGTGTAAATGCAATACGAAACATTTCAATACGGTCCATTTTCAAAACTAAGCAGACCAAATAAAAACCTAACACCAATACTTCGATGAAACACGGTCAGCTTCAAACTCTCAACGCACGGCCGCACCCTTATTTTTCCCAAAAGAGTGCATAGTACGATACCAAACAACAAACCCCTAAAAACGGCTCTCACTTAAACAACAACTTGACCGCAACCCTCACATGCTAGTTAAACATAAACCTGAAAGCGGAAATTAGCACGGCAGTTGCAGCCTCGCTCCACTCAGTCGCTGGCTCTCGTCCCGCGGATTTCAGCAAGGGACGGTCAGTTTTATCTCCACCGCTACCAACGATACCCTCGACGTCGCCAAGGTCCGCGACGGAGTCGTGGAGGTGCAACGGAGGCGGGAGGGGAGGCGCGAGGTGGTGATGCTCGTGGTGGTGGTGGTGGTGTTGGTGGTGCGGGTGGTGGTGGTGATGGTGCATGGGATGATGCTGGTGGTCGTGGTCATAGTCCGGCAAGTTGCTCACCGCCACCTGAACAACCTGGTGATGGTGAAGCTCATCGCCCTCCTCATGGCTCGGCACGATGCATGTGTCGGTGGCAGCGGCGACGTTGGAGATGGCGAGGGTGTGGTTACTGATGGTGTTGGCGCTATTGCTGCGACGCGACTGCTGCTGCCGATGAGACGACTCAACGGCGCCGGTGCTTTGTTGGTCGTCCTCCTCCTCCATCGCCAACGATGCGGGCCTAGGCCGAACCGAGCGACAGCGGAAGCAGCCAGAGCATTCCCCCGGAGTCCGTCTTCGTCGGATGAGAGCAATAAGCAGGAGGAATCTCGCTTGCCTCTCGTCGAGCTCGATCCTCTCGCCGTCCCCGCGCTTGGTTTCGTTCGTCGGCCCTCCGCAAACGGGTCCTCGCTCGCTCTCTTCACTGCGCCTCTCCCACCATCAAAGCCCCGAGCCCCACCTTTCAACACAACGACGACGACGACGATCGTGCCTTCCTTGATCACCTGAAACACACCGCGGATGAGGGCCAGGTCCTCGACATTTTCATCTATGTACGTTCATCCATTCATCCACCGTCCTCTCGTTCTACCCTTCCATCCCATTCTGCTTGGAAGCTTCGAGCACACATTGGCAGAGATCATTTTCATGAAACTAACATAAATTAATTAATAAATAACGATGGAATACTGGCGCTACCAAATTGTTTATAAAATACACTAATAACAGTAATGTAAAGCATTTGGATGTAATGCTGTAATACGTGTATAGAGAGATATCGTTCAATTACAAAATAAAATTTAAGAAACAATGTTAAATGTACAGAACGATTATGTATGACTCAACATCGTATTTGTAAAAAAAACGTGAACGTGTCTTTTACGATTAATAATACGCAGTTAAGCTAATATTGGATATGATTTTTTTTAAATACGTAGAAGTGGAACAATGGTTGTGTTTTCCTTAGTACGTAAATCTGAATAAATATTATTCTATCTTATTAATGGAATGATACTTCAGTATTACGTATAACAAAGCCATCTAGAAATTAACGAAAAATTTAATATGCGAGGCGAAGGCCACCCTACGACGCGACCTCGTCCTCGTAGGAGCGACGCAGAATACCTTCACAACGTCCGAGTTCCTAACCTGCATTAAGATGCAAATGGAACGTGGACGAGGATAACGACGGCGTTCAGGGGAATGGAAGACACAAACAGATGCATCAAGCAATCAATCAATCAAGCAAGCAAGCAATTCCTCGATGGCTCCACTAAACTGCGATCATGCAAAATTCCTAACACCGCGGTCAGGAGAGCAAGCGCCTTCGTCTGCGTCGATTTCTTCGGAACCGCGCTCTTAATTTCCCCCCCGAAGCCGACTGTAGTGACTCCATCGGCCCGCGTGGCTGGTCGCGTACTCTTTCACACTTTATGATGGAATTCAGAGTTTTCGTGATCTGGCAGAAAGCTATCAGGCGTCCCTGCGGAGATGATCGCCTTTGACCTACATACCGCTCCGATCGAGCCAGTTGCTGCCGCTACCGCTGTTAATTCCCTCGATTGATCGCTCGTTGCATCTCCGTGGAAAACAAACCCTAATGAAACGAGACAGGAGAGATCGCAAGAAAGAGGAATTGGCGAGGTGTGGGGCCAACTTGAATGTGAAATGAAGATTACAAGGAACAGTGTGGACATTAACTAGTATTAGTTAGACCTTTCGAACAAGATGGATGATTTAGGGTTTTTTGGATGTATACCATCCAGTATAATAGGTGTTGGATGAAATGTTGCTACTAGTTGCGTGGTTTGAAGGATGTTCTTTAGAATTTTTACATTAGGATTCAAAAAAGGGGAATGGAGGAAGAGGATTAGAAGATTTAGAATTGACTTCTAAAATATGCAAAATTTAAACTATATATATATATATATATATATATATATTAAATTAATTATTAGTATTCATTAAACTAGTTTCAAAGGTGTTCTATTTACTCTATTCAAAACTATAACTTGACAAGAAATTTTCTTATTGTTTTAAATTAACCATATCAAAATTCAAAAACCTTTTTAAATACTTCAATCAACTTTGTGTTATACCACATGATTTTTGAAACTAAGACAATTATATGTGTCTGTACACATAGTGAACAGACAAATACTGGCACAATGCACCTAACATCCACTATTTGCCCCTTGATAAGACTGGAAATTATATTTCTAGATTTTGCGATGTACAGTTGTAATGACCTTTACGTGATCAATATAATTAACAACTTTAAATTCTATTCATAATTGCAACCAAGTTCTTTAAGAAAATATTAAAAGAGTTTTGATCAGTTCGACAACTTTATATACCTGCTTTTATTTAACTCCTTATAATGAATTGTTATTATGCTTTAATTTACAAATAATCATCCATAATAGAGATAAAATAAAACAAATATATACACATTTTGCGTGAATGATGACTCTACATTATTCATATTATTGACCCAAACTTAGAAATATATATCCTGTTTGGTTTGCCCAGATATTATTCGAGATGTTAATCTATCACATCTTCTGAAGTGAAGCATCTCATATAAATTTGTATACGTATGAATGACACATATTTCTACATTACTGGTATGCAAATCACTTAATTTTATTTGATAAAAACATGATATCAACTGTAAATTGAGTCATAAATTCTAATGAATTGCTTTTAAGCACATCAAAAGTAGTGACAGTGCACAACATGCAGAACAAGCTACCAATGATTAAAACCAACAAAAAATATTACATTCTGAATTTAGACATCCACGCTTAAGGTTGATAGTTCTTGATTGAGAAAACTGCTGAAGAATTATCAAATTGAGAAATTTTAATTTGAATAATGTCTACTTTTGGTGATCAGGATCATAATCTAAAAGATAATTATTAGCTGCACAGCAGTAATTAAATCAAGCATGAGCTGATTTCAAATTTCGAAAAATTGGGTACATTGTCAATGGAAGAACACGCAGGAACACCAAGCTTGAGGTGACGAACCAAGATCAAGAGTTAATTACGGTGGTCCCAGCTGAGTCGAGGGTGTAAACCAATAAACACCAATCGCTTGGAAAGCATTGAGACTCCAAACAAAAAAGAAGACATTAGGAAAAGTACCCAAATTACAAAATGCCTTGCAAAAGAAGAACACATTTTAAATGAGCAACCTGATGTAATAAAAGACAAAAGTCAGAACTGTACAAGGTTACACAAAATACACCATCAATGATTCTTTCACAGTATAAAAAGACATATTCAAAAGCAGCGTTGTAAGGCTGAGAATCGATTTACAAACAGGTGTCCTTCACCTAGAAATGAATGTTCCTATCACGTTACTTGAATGGTAATTGATAACTGACTTCCTTCGCATAACCCCATGTTGGAATCAACAGTTCCGAAGTAGAGTTAACCTTTCATGCCATGAACATCTACCTGGAACTCAAAACCGTCTTCGTGTAGGGCTGCGGGACCTGTGACCACCTCGAGGAGATCTACCACAGCACCAAAAGACAGAGAATAAGCTTTTTACAAACGGAACGGATGTAAAAACTAAAACATTAGATATCGATCACTCCAAGAGAAACAAAGATAAGAATCACACCTTCTTCGAACATTACGACGATGAAGTGGGCCACTACTGAAGGCCCAGTTCACAGATATGGTTTGAGTTAGCAACTGTTTTCCATTCATGTTGTCAATTGCTCCCTGAGCCTCCTTTTTCGTTTCATATTCAATCAATGCATAGCCCTGCATGCACAATACCGCTCAAACAATTACGAAATAATAATGGAGACACAAATGCAGGCGTATCGATAATTACGCACCTCATCTGGAGTCATACTACTCGTTCTATAATATAGATAAATTCAACTATGTGAAATAATTACAATATCCAGATGAGAAACTGTTGACAATGGACTCCAAGTTACACCTTGACAAATCCAGTCCTCCTGTCAAGATTGAGATGCAAGTTCTTGATCTCTCCGAACTCAGAGAAGGACTCGTGGAGATCGTCCTCCTGAGCCTCTTCATGAACACCAGTCACCAGAATAATCCAACCCTCCACAGCTGGTAAGGGACAGTCAAGAGAGTCAACTAGATTCGTGCACAGACAACATCATAAATCACCGAGTAAAAAAACAGAGCAGACAAACCCCACGTCAGGATAACCAAGCGAAATCGTTTGCCAAGGCCCAATATACAGGAAACGAGGACTTGAGACACGACACAGGACTCTACAGACTTAGGTAGATAAACTTTAGGGAGGCAATGCTCAGTCATCGCATAACCCAGCAAAACTCTTAACATTTGCAGTAACCAACTAGAACAAACCTAAGATGAAAATGTTGATGAAACACCAAACACTACTGGAACGGACCAAAAAAAATCCTAATAATCCAATTTCTTAAAAGTGCACTGACACAAATTCAAAACGCAATGTAGAATGGGAATTTCTCTGCTGATGAAGACATGGCAGTGTCCGTGTAGCACTCTTCCAAGACAATGCTCCAGCATAGGGACTAGGATCCAGGGAAACCAAAAAATAAAAGAAACCCGAGAAGATCATACAAAACCAATAGGAGGATACAACGCTGAGGACCGGGTCCGCCACTCCCGTCAAGTGATTCGAATTCCTTTTCAGTGTACCGGTGAGAGCGATCGGCGTCCGCTTCGTCCCGAAAGCCTCGCCCCTTGGTCTTACGACCATCAACAGCAGCGGCACTTCCACCTCCACCCACGCGACTCCCGCCCCCAGCCCCACCCGTGCTGATAGTAGACCTCAGCTTTGGTGCAGGAGCGGCAGGCGTCTCGAGATCCTCCATAGCCACATCTTCGTCCAGGAGATCGTCTTCCTCAGGCTCGAAGTCCACAGCATCCACAACCTCTGCCGTTGTCATACTTTCACCAAATGGCTTGGTGGAGATATCGGGAGAACCAGCTTGGAAACGGCTACACTATTGAATAATGCAAGCAGACGACAACAGACAAACAACACTGATACGGCATGGAATTACGACGATGCTCAGGAGTTCGGAGCGATAGCGAAACCCTAATGGGAACGAGGAACGCTGGGAAAGACTGGCTTCGTCACTTGGCGCCAAACCTAGAACGGATTTTAACGAATGATATTTGATCATAATACATTCATTTCCTGGATTTCATTCGTCGTTCCTACACGTTCTAGAAGATATGTTTCGTTCCCACTCATCGTTGTGTTTGTTATACGTATTTATGGAGCTCTTATTATGTTTATTTTAAAATACCGTATATATAATTATAATATGTAGTATAAATATATGTATTATATAGTGAAAGTGTATAGGGATTCTCGTGTCACAGTTGCATTGTTATGTCCAGATTGCTCGCTTTAATTTCAAAATATTAATTTTGAATATGTTAAATGATAAATGTAATGATTTGGTTTTAAGAAAATTATTTACTATCTTTTGTTCCATAAAAATTACATTAATAAAGTCAAATTATGAAAATTTGAATTATATTAGTATGTGTATTTTTATTGTAGAAGAGTATGATTAATATACACATAAAATTAACGTCTTTATTTATTTTATTGAAACATATTTAAATTTCTTTTTTGTGATGAGTACAAAATTTCGAAAAGAAATTTTGTATTTGTGAATTAGATGTGTAAAAATGCTTTATTTCTAAATTAAGGAATATTTTTTCAACCTTTCTTGGAAGTTAAATATTAATATTGTCACTTCATTCAAGAATTAATATATGAAATCAATTATTTGGTTTGTTGAGCGAAAATCTTTCTTATTAATGTAGTGATCATGAATAAATAATGTTTGTAAACAATATGTCATGTAAAACTTTTATTCTTTATGTTATTTACGCAAGATGACTGCATCCACATGTGAGGTCTGTATCGGCCCACAATGATACATGTCAAAGTAACCCAACGACATGGCATTAGTAGAATAGTAAGCAAGGAGATAAGGAGCTATTATGGGGCTGCAAAAATTATCAAGGGCGCAGAAAGGTAGAAGAATATTTAAGGGTCAAGGAAAGCACAATGGAAGTAGTCAAGAATTAGTACAATACTTAGTTGGTCTTGGACAATAGTATTGCAAGCTAGGAGAGTGTTGGACTAGAGGCCATGTGATTTGAGCTGAGTTAATAAACAATGACTCATTTTTTTCCAATCAGTGTGTGTACTACGTCTAATCTCATAGGGTATTATCTCGTGCTTTGCTTGTAATCCCAAAAGCTCAAGTAACACCTTTGTATTTGAAAAAAAAACTAAATAGTCTGATTTTATTAGTTCATTTCATTTTCCTTGTTTGGAAATAGTAAACAAATGGTATATTGTTAAAATTTGTGATCAATCAGAATTCTATTTTGTTAGTATTTAAAAATTAATTTTATGTATTGTTTCTCATGTAAACATTAACAGAAGCAATAACAAGAAATCTAGAAAAGTTATCTGTATCAGTAAAATATGAATTTCAGTTAAACTTTATTTTGATGAAATTGAGTGCTCATGAACTCATATGCCAAGTATCGTCAAGAACAGAAAGTTTCACTCCATTTTTTTTTCCCATTCCTTTAATATTTTTAAAACTCCTGTTGGTTTATCATGAAACAAAACAACCATGTTTGAGTATTTAGAGTAATATAAGAACCAGAAATTCCACAAAATATTCCTTCTTACCATGTTTAAAAACCTTCAGCATTGTACAAAGCAAATGTCATACAAACTTCACGGTTCGAACTCATCAAAACGTCATCATGATCTTCGTTCAAGGTGCAACATTTTCAAAAGACAAGGATACAACATCTACAACACCTATTGGTAATAAGTTACAGCATCGCATTAATATATGTCCATTGCAGTACAACTTTATAAAGGGGAACACTTAGAATCTATTGGGATCCTGTTACAACAGGAAAACAATCTTTGCCATTCATCAAATTCAAGGGAGAATAACAGTATAAGAAAGTTTTGACAAATCTGGAATACTAGAGCATCTTCGATCTGTTGGCGAGCAAAGTAAGGTTGTGTTCATCAAGGATTTGGTTGCCTCTGACCAAGCAGAGTATCCAACTACCTCAAGAGAACACATACAACTCATATCCTACAGACCAGCAAGAGTATGAAACTACCTTGAGAGGACACATACAGATTGCTAGGTTTGCGTTACAACTCCTTGAGCTGCCGCATTCAACAGTAAAATCCTTTTGGAGCAATCAGGTCAAACTAAAGCTTACAACAATAGAGCCACGAATGCATTGGTGCCAGGCTACGGTCCTATCTAGAAAGGGATTTATCATCGGCACTCTTTGAAGGCAGTGCAATCACTGGGCCGTTAGGTGAGTTGGGATCCGAAGATGTGGGCCTTATGCAGGTGAACAACCTAAACGATCCATCTCCTTTTTTGTGCTGGATTTGGTGCAGAATACCCTCCAGATGCACGATGATAGTTGCAAAGCTGGGCCGCTTCGTGGGGTCCTGATGCCAACACTGCTTCAGCAAGCTGTGTCAAATCACTCCTGTTAGCAAAATGATCATGCACTATGCTATAAAGGCCTCACAAAAACAAAGACTAGATGCGATTCTGATTCTAGTGACTCGATTTGAAAATTGATTGGCCAGGTCCACGATTAAATTAAGAACGAAACTCATACACCAAATGACATACTTATTCACGAGATTACTTACTCTTTCATACGAGAAGGATACGTATTTACAACGAAAGATGGCCTCTTCCCTTCCTTCGCTCTAAAATGAGCAATGTCTTTGGCCCCCTGAAACTTCGAATGTGGGCCTCCTTCGAATAACTGAAGATAGATTTATATGAGAAAACTGAAGCTTTACTGTATACTAATCTCAAGTAAAAATATGTTAGTATTTTGATATGAAAAAGAAAGAAGAAAAAGACATTGATTCATTACATTCTACAAACTCCTCCATATATAAGAATAATAGAGGATGTCAAGGCGAGGTGAAGCCGACGATAGCCAAGATGAGATTGACGCGTTGAAATTCAAAACCCTGCTTCGGTAGTCCAGTTATGAAACTCACAAAATCATCTTCGCCTTGGATATATTCGTTTCACCCCGCCCTAAAGACCAACTGAGGACAATTATTTGGCTGAAGAACCTTCTCATGTGCTATCCTCCTGACAACTGCAAATCTTCATACTTGAAAGTTTAACCAACTTCCCAACTTTACAAGAACTTTCACTCGGTCTAGTACTCTTGAATTATGCTAATTAATGGGCAGTATAACACGGGTTTTGAAGTAAATCCTTATACATATAACACCACAACTTGAAATCGTATCACCTAAACAAACATAGCTAGCGGCTGCTTCAGATTGTGGTTTACCTCATGAACAATGATAGCAAAAGAGAACACATCCACACTCTTATCATAAGCTTTGTGTAGAAACACCTCCGGAGCCATGTACCGATCTGCTCAAGACTATACTCGGTCAGAATCTTTACGCTTACGACAGTGACGAAACTTGACATACAGAACACACAGGAAAAATAACGTGCTCATCATGGAAGCATTATAGCGGAATAGATTTAGAGATGAAGCAAACAAAGTACAATTAATTATGATGAATACTGATTACAGCAACTCAATGACTTGCATCCTCTTAACCAACCGTGGAAGATTGGGGTACTTAATCCGCGAGTTCAGCAGCAGCAACATAGTAAAGAAGAAGAGTCATAAATTCAACCCAAAATGTATAGTTGCAGAGTTGTAAGGGAGGCAGTAACTTACAGGATCCAGTTTCTCCAGTCATTAAGTATTGCTTCGTAGCCTCAGAAGCATCTAGAAGCTTACCAAGTCCGAAATCTGCCACTTTGAGATATCCAGCTTCATGTAACAACAAATTCCTGCAACCTAACAAGTCTCAGCATACTTCAAAAGCGGAGATTGCAACACAACAGGACAATATCACCAATGTGCAAATTCAAAATGCTAAGAATGAAATTTTCTGTAAATGTTCATTCACGAATTCGCTCTGCAAGTTCAACCTAACGGACTATTGATGTAACTTACTAAGTCGCTGAGATCCGGTTGAACAAGTAGAGTTCAGTATCATTTCTGTTCTGAAAGATAGGTTTGGGCTGTTCAAGAAACTACACCCCCTAAACGCTCTTTTGAGGTAAATATTTTTTTACCATAAACAGGAGGGACAAAGTAATCCTGTGCAACACAGTAATTTGAACCTGCCTAAGCTTCACAACTCATAAACAAGACAACTCTCTTTACTAGCTAAGGGTCATCGCTACTTTCACTCCTTTCAAGGCAAAGTTCGATGTAATCAATAACCCACAATACCCACCTGGGCTTTAGATCACGATGTACGATAGGATCGGGTTTGTGTTCATGAAGATAATTCATACCCCTGAAGACAACAAGAAATGGATAAGCTTCCCATGACCCCGACAGATAAATTCCAACAAACAATTAACTTCCAGTGAAAATAGGACATCATTGTAAAACGATGAAAGATTCAAAAGTACTGTTACGGACTTGGCGATGTCGAGGGCAAATTTCACAGCAGTCAATGCATCGAGCTTTCCTTTCCGATCAAGGTAATCATGTAAATCTCCCTAATCATGGCACACAAATGGCAACATTGTGAGTGAATTTTGATCATGCAATACTACCCAAAGAATAATGTACATTATGAAGAGTAAGTACGTAGCAGTGAAATAAACCAGATAAATTCACCATTAGCTGATACAATGGCCTGCGATCATTTCTTACTGCAGAACAACAAGTCACAAGAACAGGGATGACCAATACATCATTCAAAACGATACAGATTAATGTAGGTACCTTTGGAAGATACTCGGTTACTATAATAAAGGGTTGAGTTTTGGTTACAGCACCAAGAAACTGCATGATGTTTGGATGCCGCAGTCTTGAAAGGAGAGCCAGCTCATCAACAAACTCTTTCCTGTTTAATGCGATATATTAGTAAGTACGCCCCAGAAGAGAGCATAATACTTCTTGAAGAGAGGCATCGCTACCAAATTCATCCATTTAAGACTATTAATGTGCATAAATTTTGCATGGACAACCCATATCTCTTAAGAATGATCACATACAAGAGATGGTGAGTTACTCACACTATTTTCTGATCTGATGTCAAATGACTCAATATGGTCTTTGCTGCCACTACAGTTCCACGCCATTTCACAATTTTGATCTCCCCAAAGGCACCCTAAAAGAGAGATATGAAAAAAATAGGTGATCTGACCCGTTCACATAGCTTGCAGTTTACATGCATATCGAGATAGGTCCGTCCACAGTTTCTCACATCTGTAAGAGACATGAACTTGCAGTCCAGTCTTGGAAATAAAATTCACAGAGAAAATAAGCATGAAAACAGCGAAAAATTACAGATTCGTTTAATACAATTATATACGTGCATGTTTCAAAGGCCTGTTACGCATTCATTCATTACTAGCTTGAGCCTGTACCTTGCCAACAGATCGAGCTTTCTCCAAACTCAACTCCGCAGGATCGATTTCATACTCAGAAAGCGTACTTATTGGCTGAACATTCAAGCACAAATGCAATTAGAAAATATTCAATTCAGACTTCTGTGTCTCGCTCGTGTTTCTCGTCTTAAGAACAGGTAGGCGCGTAATTTATTTACCCAATGAAAGAAAACTAGTAGAGATGGAAACCAAACCAATACTACAGCCAAAGAATTGCGTACCTTAACAAAACCACCGCTCGCTACTAGTAAATCGCAGATCTCTTCGTACCCATATCTGCGCGCATTCGCTAATGGCTGTGTAGGATGAACCCCCCCAAACACAGACACCCCTAAAATTAGAACCATGACAAGGTAGTTCATGACATGGAACAGAAGAGTATGTAGACATTTACTGTGCCTAAAATTAATTACAAATAAAGTACAAACTAACTGGGTCGAACTAGTAAATGCTCACAGTTTCATTAAAGCGGTCGCAGGGATTCACGCTCGAGCCATATTCAAGCAGCAACTTCACAGCAGCCGTATGCCCTTCACTAGCAGCAAGGTGAAGTGCAGTTCGCCCGTCATAATCTACCGCATCCACTGACGTGCCATTGTCCAGCATATGCTTTAATATTGGTACGTTGCCTTTACTTGCATAATACAGCAAGGTTCCTGTCTCTTCTTCTTGTTTGAATGAGCCCATTCTGATATTGCAGATTCCTTTGGCCTCCACTCAGATTCATAAACTTCAAAACGCAAACAAATTACCAAATCATTCAGGGTGGATTGACCACAACCCCAACTACACCGACATGATACATATAAGGTCGAAATTCACTCCACGTGTTGCATACTAACACAAATTATTATCAACCCTAATCAACAACAGCGATCATTTCGTCAGCCTCATGAATATACAGAATCAGATCATTTTCTAGACCAACCTCTTGCATTTAAAAGCTTGCAAAAAAACATGTACTACCAGTAATCAAAACCATGGAACACTCTGCTTAATACTACAACTCTGTATGACCTCTTTGAAATGTAAAAGATATTTTCACGTTTGCTTGAATCCTCCTCTAATACACTTCTTGTATCTAAAAAGTTTAAACCATCCATCCAATGGCATACTAAAATTTCAGAAAGTTTCCTCCAAAATGCATAGCAACTCCAAATTCCCAATTCACAAACTTCACAGCTCAAACTCAATAAGACAATTCCTGAACAAAAACAAAGAAAAAACCAGCGAGCACATGCACCGTGAGGGACTTGCTCTTCACGACCTTAAACCTGCCCATCAAAACCAAGCCAGTACACTTTACCAGCCGACCGGACGAAAACCTCCATGCACAATCAAAGCAACATATCCAACGAAACAAATACACCCGAATAACTCGCGCTCTGCACCTCTACTCAAGCGCGCAAATCCGTCACAAAACCACCGACACTGAATACTCACCAACAGTAAGGCCAGAAGTAGAGCAATCTCGACAAGCAAGCACCAGTCCTCTGCATCATGACCGAGGCGTTACGAGACGAACCAAACAGGGGAAGATGCTAAAACCCCTGTTCGAGGCGCGCGTGGTCAGTCTAGACCCTAAATTTCCCCCGTTTTGGTGAAGGCTTCACGCAAGGACGACGCGCGGTGCTGAGAACGATGGTACAGTGTGATCGTAGCATGGAATTCAATCAGCAAAGGCCAGATCCACACGCTGGAATCGGCTTGGCGACAAGCCATTCTCGCGACCCAGGCTTGAAAACCCACATTCCTACGTCTCCCCCCAGCGTTCGGCGCACGGAGGGCCCCCAAGGGGCTTATCGTCCCAAGTTCCGCGGCTTTGGGTTCTGAGTATCCGGCGTCTATTGCCGTTGTCGCGGAGTTTCTCCGTACTTTAAGGTTGATTTTTGTTAGATATTTTGTTTGACGATTTTGTTTTGTATTATGTTCACGTTTTCAATATTATTATATTACATTTTGACAAGATTATCTTTTGCTTTAATAGTGATGTTATTTCATTTTATTAATGGATGTTAAAGACATGTTTAAAAATTATGGACATATAATTAATGAATGTGACATTTGCTAAAGAATTTAGATCCAACATTATTGGAGATTAATTATAAGACTTTTGTTACCTAAAGTTATAATTTTTTGATACTTTAGATTAAGCAACAATTTAACTTAGCTATTGTTCTGCAAGGCTCTTCTTGATTGGAATAGGTTTTTTTTGTAATGAAAGATTTCTTAACCTAAGTAATATATCAATTCACTCAAGCAATAACTTTTGAAAATCACCTTACTGGTTGAGCGCCAATACTAGGTATGTATTATTTACGGCACCAAAAATTGGTTCAAGTATTTGCAATTCCATTATGTAAACACCTTGATTGTCTTGCAAAATAATTTTTACACCAAAGTTTTTAGCTTATTCATCTTTTTTGCTAAAATCAATCTTGCATTGTAACAACCATAGGATTTTTGTGAAATGCTTAAATAGATGAAAATCAATCTTTTTTTAGTGAATTTTTTTCACATCTTCTACTTGATCATGTGTACATAAGACAACTTATTGCTTGAGTAAAAATCTTAGAATATGACCTATCAATTTTATCTACCTTGAGAAATTATTTGTGCACTTTATAATTACAAATGTAGAGATCTTTTAAATTATATTCTTATTAAACGGTTGGCAATAATTATAATAAACTCCTATATGCTCCCTTGTAACTTGAGTTTTGATTTCATTGAATTAAAGTTTCTTGAAGCTAAAAAAATTATTTATTAAATCTTATAAATATTTCTTATATATATATATAGAAAGAGAGAGAGAGAGAGTTATTTTAATACTCAATAAGTTTATATTTTCAAAGTAGGGATACTTATTTGTTTATGGAATAACAAAAAATTTATAATAGTTTTTTTACTAAAGTATTATTGAAATAATTTATAAGTACTAATATAATTTAGTACCTTCTCTTCAATTTGATTCAATGCATTTCAAATGCATATGTGGTGGAAAAATAAACAATACTTTGCTAAATTTGTTGTGATGCATTTTAATCTTTTTTGGTACTAAAGTATTTTTTGGAGTTTGCTATCATGTTTTTGTCAATGTGCCAAAGAGAAGAAAATAGTTGTAAGTTAGAAAAACATCTTATAAGTGTGTGGATTATAATAAGCTTATAATTTGTTGCTATTGTGATTGGTTTCTAACATGGAATAAACTAGGCCAACTATTCTAAGGCCTATGCATAATATATATAATAATAATATAAAGAACTGGCATCTTAAATTTATTTTTCTTGTACATAAAATCAATTCTAAGATTGTATGGATAACTCTCTACTAACTTTATACAACTTACATAGGTATAAATATATACGTCACTTCATTGGAAGTACAACATTGATAATTAAAATCAAAGCCATTTTTGAAGATGGCATCTATGAAAGAAAGAAGCAAAGATTGATTTTTTAACTTAACTTTGTAAAGATGCATTATTTTATTATAAATTATTGGCTAATTTTATAAAAGTTTATATTTTCTATTTGTGAGTAGTATTATTTTTGAACAATTAAGCAATGATATTTTTAATTATCTAAAAACTAAAATTTAATGCATTTGGAATTATATCTTATAATCTTCTAATTAAAATCTAATAGTTGTAATGTTAGATTTTATTATCTTTTAATTAGAATCTAATGCTTGTAATATTATAAAAGCATTATATGACATCTTAATCCATAATTTTATATTTATAATACATATTAATTAATTATATAGAATAAAAAATTATAATTGAAAAGTATTTATTAACAACTTAAGATTAATTATATATTAAAATAGCTTAGGTGTATTACATTTAGAATGATGAATCTATAACCACAACCAAATTGGATTCATTGTTAAAAGTGATATATCAAATCAACAATTTTTTTTTTATAATATAATAATATATATTTTAATTTATACCAAAATATATATTTAAATTAACACAATAAGTACAATCAACTTAGATTATTTCAATTCACACAAAAAATACCTTAAATTATCTCAATTTACACAAAAAATAAATTCTATTGTACACAAGAAATAAATTAAATTCTACACAAGAAGCAACTTAAATTATTTCAATCCACTCAACAAGCACATTCAATCTTCTCCATAAGTATGTTCAATCCTCTCAATAAGCACAGTCAATCCTCTCAATAATCACACTTGATTTTTTTAATGAGTATGCTTGATTCATTTAATAAGTACATTTAATCTATACAAAAAGTAACTTATATTATGTAAATCTACTCAAAAAAATATACTAGATCTTAATAAGAATTAGTTTCTATTCTTATTATCTATTCAACAAGTAATTTAATTTGCTCTAATTTACTTTACAAGCATACTTGATTCATTCAAGAAATACATCAGAATCTCTCAACGAGTACATTTTAATCACTCAACAAGCAATTCAGATTGCTCCAATCTATTAAACAAGTGTACATAATCCATACAAAAAAACAACTCTTAATCCATATAATAAGTAATTTTAATTATCTTATTTTATATAATAATTAATTTAAAACATGTTAATCCATTAAATAAGTACACTCAATCTACACAACAAGCACCTTGGATTGTCTTAATCTACTCAACAAGCACATCTAATTCTACAACAAATAATTCAAAAAAATTCCAATTCATTAAATAAGCTCATATGATCTACACAACAAACAACTTAAATTTTTCTAATCTATTCAATAAGCACACTTGATCTACACAAAAATCAATTCAAAACATCCCAATCTACTCAACAAGCATATTTGATCTACACAAAAAATAACTCAAAACATTCCAATCTACTCAACAAGCACATTTAATCTACACAATAAGTAACTTGATTTTTTTCAATCTACACAATCAAATATATGTAATCAATACAACAAGTATTTTAGGTTATCTAGATCTATTTATTTAACATATTTAATTAATAAAATAAATAATTTTTATTATTCTATTTCATTGAATAAGTGAATGAAATCCAAATTGTATTAATCCACCATTACAAGTACAAGTAACTTGAGCTGTCACAATCTAGACAACAAACACATGTAATTTAGATTTTTATATTTACTTTCAAAATTATACAACATCTTAATCTTTATAATCAATTTTGATCCATATCATAACTTTCATATTTAATTGTTTACCCTCTTTAATAATACAAAAGGTTGTCTTCCATCTTTACACATAAATGGTTGATATAGATACACTGTCATGAAAATACATACTTATTCTAATAATTACCTATATAATTAGATAGAATTAGATAAAAATAGATAAAAATAAATTAGTTTTATAATATCTTTTAAAAAAACTTTCTAAAAGCTTTATAGATATAATTTTGATTCTATACATATTTATAGTTGAATTTTAGATAAGAAACTTGGTCAATAAATGTCTAAGATGCATCTCAAAGAAAGAAATCTTCAATACAATCTTAAGTCATTGAAAAGAACTAAAAAGTCACTTAAAGATGATATAATATTTATAACAGGGTATAAATAAGATAATTGTATAGATAGTTAGAACCATGGAAGTTTCTAGAATTATGATTAGATTAGTGGACCAAGTAGGATCTATTGTGAAATATACTATAAAGAATTTAGGGCGATTATTTAGGTGAGGCCTACCATAGAACCTTCTAAAAAAAGAGTTTAAGGTGATTATCTAGATAGAACCTACTACATAGGAATATTTTTAGAAAGTCCAAGATAATAGGATAAGGTATAAATAGTACTACGTAGGGCCTTTTCGAGCATTTGATCAAGTATGGCTTAAAATCTTTCTCTTAATAAAATTTGATTTTATATCATTTTGTTCAGTTCTATTCTATTTCGTTTTTGTTTGTTCAATTTTTATTTTTCATATCCTATTCCATTTAGTTCCATTCAATATATTTTTGATTTATTTTGTATTATTTTATGATGAGGCTTTATGTTATAGATTAGAAAGATCTTGGATTTTTGAGATAGTCTGGTCTTGTTTCATTGATATCAGAGCGAGTGTTAGACTGTTTACTTTTGGTAGCATGTCAATCGTCATTATCTAATCAAAGGTCAGTTGTTGTGGTCATACTAGGTATTATGTTGAAGCTACCATAAGCTATTCTTAAAAAGACAATTGGGAGGTGAAAAGACATTATAATAGTAGAGTCTAGCAAAGATATTATAATATGGGAGATATGGCAAAGCAATCCTAGATGGAGGCTCAAATACAATACCTCTTAGATTAGATAGCCACTTTGCAACAACAAATAGAAGCCTTAAGGACAAGAAAGTTGACATCTGCTAGGTTGAAATTGAGTAAGGCTAATACATACTCTAAGACTTCAAGTTAAGAAGATGTATGTCAATAGCTCTTCAATATGCAACAATATTTCTAGCTATCTATGACAAATACTACTGAAGGAATTATATATGAAGCCAATTATTTGAGAGATGCGACAACTATTTGGTAGCAACATCAAGTTTAAAGCTATGGAAGTAAAGGTGGATTTTGTGACTGGATGGAGTTTGAGACCAAGTTTAGAAATCAATTTTTGCTTATCAATGTCGTGAAGATAACACACGATTAGTTAGCAAATCTTATATAAGCTAATTCAGTACAAGATTAAATCTTTCAATTTAAGTCCCTATGTCTTCAAATTGGCAATGTTTTGGAGGTGGAGATGATAAATTGATTCCTACGAGGTTTGATAACCTAGGGTCCAATGATAGGTGGAGCTAAGAGATCTACAAAAAT